CTGAGTTAAGAATTATCCTGAAGTCCTTATTCAAGCAATACTCTTACTGCCAGTAGTAGAAATTTAGCTTAACAGAAGAAACAGCCAGAAAAACTTTCTACTTGTTGGGTTCAACAGCACAAAGTCCTCAAGGCTTCAGCAGTGTCAGTGTAGCATCCCAAGCCTTTCAGTTACACTGCATTCTGCAACAAACAGTTGGCAGAATAGAATGGGCTTGTCTCTTTTATTGGAAAGATGGACAGTTATTACTTTTTTGAGCTAATGCAGCCACCAGTTTAAGGTGCTATTGGTGTCTGTGCATTCCTCCTTTCCTCATTTAACATTAGGGGCTGCTAAAACATTTTGTTGATACTAGCTTTTTTTTTACTTGCTTTGATCAACTGGAGAACAGGTGTTCATAAAATTATATTGGATGTACATCCACCTGCATTTACTCTTTTCCTTTTCGTTTTCCTTGCTTTCCCCCCTGCCCAACCCCACTTTTATTTTTCTCTTCTTTCTTTTCTCCCATTTCTTTTCTTCAATTTGTTTCCCATTTAATAATTTCTTAGGAGTACTTAAAGATCATTTACGTTTAGTTAAAAACAAATTCTGAAATTACAAATAATGCTTTGTTAACAGAAATCATTAATAATCAAAATAATCTATGTAATATTGTGTCTACAAGTGTATGTAGTGCTCTTGTGTGTATAGTGTTCATTTGTATGGTTCAGTTTCAGATAAAGTAGAAAATGTTTTGTGAATGAACATCGTATTGAATATATCTGAAGGTGAAAACCTGTTTGTGGTAACTTTGGTGACATAGAATATTACCAAGTCTAATTTCAGAGTACCAAGGTAGGAGTACTTAAACAAAGCAGAAAAGGCTATGTCATCTTAAGATCATGTAGTATACACTTGTGCTGTGACATATCCCAGCAAAACTAGAGAACAAAGGGCTTACATATGAATAAAAATAAAGATAAATTTGTGTAATTTAAGTTAATGTGGTAGTTCTTGATTTTGAAGTAATAGGAAAACTCAGTCTATCTTCTGCAGTGAAGTAGGACTTGATCCAAAGAGGTACAGTGGTGACAGCAGCTGTGTATTCTTGCTGGTTAGAAAAGCACTCAGACATATGTTTGATAAAATTGTATTTTATCAGCCAGAACAAGGCTTTTAGTGAATTTTAACACAGTGGCCTTCCAAACTAGTAAGGGTTGATGGTTAGGCTAGGTGCCTCCTGGAAAGCTGTGCTCACTTCACTTGAAGTTGATTTGGGCAATGTTGAAAGTGCTGAAATTAATCATGGGAGGTGTGGGACGGAGCTTTTGTTAGTCTACATGCCCTTGGGAAAAATAGACCCTACTGAACAGTTCAGAGAGATTCAGTTTCTGTGAAGCTTCTGTTTCATTTTGGAAACTCAACCTGCATTATTTTGCAGTTGAAGTCCCTTCAATTTATGTAAATTTTTCCAAGCACACACAGATTTTAATGCTCAGCCCATTGGAAAATATGGGTTCTCAAATGGTTCATACCCTAAGGGCTGAGTTGTCTAAAGTATTTTGCTTCTTAGAAGATCATATTCTGTATTTCTGGAACATCCTGCACACAGGGAAGTTCTCTGGGCATTGTGTTGTTGCATTATATGTGTTGCATGTGAGAGGTAGGAGGAAGAAATGTTCTGTACTGGTAGAGAGATAAAGTAATTTCTGTCTTTACAGTGCTAACCAGTCAGCATTACAGTTGCCAGATATTCAGTCTACTGGATGTGGCCTCTGTAGCAAGTAGTACTACTAGGCAGATGGAACAAGATCTATTAGAGGAGAATAAAAATAGGGATGAGAGTGTAAGTGGTCTTGTCACTCATAGAAGTACAGATGTAAAATAGGGAGTAAAAAGGAAAATTTTAGATGACCTCTGTATTCCTGCAAGTACTGTGCGTTCACAGTTCCCCTATCATGTGAGATAGATAAGAGATGTATTGCAGTGGGTAAGGGATTTTCAGACCAGGTCTTTCAGGGAGGGGGAAAAAAATAGCAAGGATAGGTAAGGTAAGTGTAGGTAGATGTTCATTTTCAGTGTCTCAATACTGGGGGAAGAAGAGTTAATGCTTTGCTTTAAGTTGAAACAGATCAATGTATTTCAATGGATTGATCTGAATTGAAAGTTGATTAGAAGTTAACTAGATACTAATATATACAAGTATATATCAACTTATATATTGTGTTGCAATTAACTCATGACTGATTTGGGATGGATGCTTCATTTTCCCTTTTTTGTGTGTGTGTGCACACCTAATCTTCTGAGATCAATTACTATCCCATGCAAAGCAGTGAGTTTCCCTCGTAATTTAATTCTTTTTCCAGAAGTTTGAGAATGCTGTTGTAACAGTGTGTTTATAAGAGCAGCAGTGCAGCCACGACAATGTTAGGATGAGCCACTGGACCTTCCATTCTCAGGAATAACGATAGTTAGCAAAGAACAAATAAAAGCTCAGTGATTATCTAAAGCTTGTATTTGGTGCAAACAGCTGACAAACGTCATTCCAGTGGTGATAGGCCCAAGACACAAAATACGTACGTGATGTTCAGATCCAAACTTTATTTGCTTAAGCTGATATCCAGAAAGAGCTTTGTCCAATCTGCTATTAATAAAAAGTGGCAATGAATTGCATCAGTGAACTATATAGGTATAAGATGATGCAAATAACTTATAATACAAAGAGATCTCAGATCAAAAAAAGCTGGGCAGTAGAAAAACAGTCACAAGCTGTATAATGTAGTGTCTACGGTGTATTAATGTGGTAAATTACATTTATTTTTATCTGTTTGTGAGCTGTTCTAAGCTTATGCATGATGCTATTTAATCTATGCAATTTGATTTGTATTTCGGGAAAAGATAAAGTGATGCACAGACAGTTCTGTCTTAAATGGTCTATCTTTGAGTAATATCAAGTAAAGCTAGAGAGCTAATGAAAGGATAGTGATGCTTGTATCCGCTCTGACATTCCACTAGAATTCATTGGACACAGACGCTTACATGATGGTTAATAAGAATAATGTAGAGATGATAAAGTAGCATTGAAAAGGGCTATTTCTATATCTGCGGTGCAGATCCCCACTTTCCTAAGTGGTTGGTGACCTCTAGCAGCACCCTTCTTTCCTAAGTAGAAGTAGCAGCTGCGTCACAGCAGTCCCTCTATTTGTGGCAGCGGAGGTGTTTAGAGGATGATGTTCATCAATGATGTCTTTCTTTTGTGATGGGACAGTGCTGAGTCAAATGTAGTAAAGCCCTGTAGGGCCTCTTTCCTCAGTTATGATGCCTTCAGTTATAAGTGCTCAGCAGAAATAACCAATACCTAAAGAAATTGCCTCTTAATTACATAATATTTGCATTTTGCTTAATGTAATTATTTCCTTACAGAGTGAAGGTCTTGAAGGTATGTGAACTAAGCATAGTAATTATTTATAGCAGCAGTGAGTATCCTTGTTTCTCTTGCCAGTTTTCTTTCTGGATCCTGAAGAACAACATTACTCACTCCATGTGAGTTCATAAAGTTGCTTAGGAGTTTTTTTTAGTCAGTGTTGTATTCACTGAGCTTCCAAAATGCACAGCCACATAAAGCACAAAAGCTGGGTGGGCTGGGATGACAGGAGCAGGCACCCTAGCAATACAAGCTTGTCTGCACAGCTTCAGCTCAGTCATCTCAGCCATACAACACCTTGAGTATACTCGCCCAGTTTCTTCCTGGCTCAGAGCATACGTTTCCTGATGTCTTGGAAACAGGGATTGCCCCAGACAGAGCTTCTTTGCATCCTTCTGCAAAATGCAACACAGATAACTCTAAGTGAATTTGTACTGAAACCTCAATAAGAAATAAGGTTTTATTGTAAGCACATGTGTGTATTTACAGTGACAGAGTAAGGCTGGTGAACGTTGAAGCAAGACAGGAGGCAAGAAGTAGATAGAATGACAGGGCAGCCAATATAACTGCAGTTACTATAGCTTGGTGTTATGGATTATAATAGAGATGTGTTGCATGCTATTTCCTTTGGTCTCTCATTCAAAAGGCAAGAGGGAGCTGATTACAACGTGAGCAATGCCACATTCTTGTATTGGCCAGCTGCAGTAGGGGTTACATTTGTGATTTCTGAGTCTTCATCGGTGTGCCTCTGCCTGTGTTAATCTAATGTACTTCATAATGTAGACATCAAAGCTTTAGTAGCCTTGTTTACTCCTAAGCAATGTCCAGCAAGACTGGAGTGGAGCAGAATGCAATGTTGTATGGATATTGACACAATATGCAGAAATAAAAGAACATGTGGTCTAGGTTTTTCCAAAGGACTGTGAGAGTGATCTTATAAATCACCTGAATAAGAGGTCTGCATTGTGGACAGAAACAACTACACTATATATCTTGCTAGTAAGAGAGAAGCAGGAATATATTTATTGATATATTTTAAATATAATGTAGTGATTTAACAGCAACTTATCAAGATTTGAGGTAGCTTGATAATTTACTGTGAAGAGGTTAAGGTTAAACACACACATGGAAGAGACCCTCTTATTGAGTGGACACCTTTGCTTTCTAAACTCCTTGAACCATGAAGGTAATGAGCCCAAGTGCAGCAGAATCCACTGTTATTCCCAGACTTTGTGAGCAGTTTATGTCTAAGGGATTATATGTGCACAATCAAAGAAATAGAAAAGCTAATGAAGCTTGAAATAAAGTATTAATCACTTAGTGAGGATCTGTGTCAACAAGGCATTTTGACATCAAGGTGTAAAGGATCTCTGCAGCAAGTGTAACCTCCAGAGTCATCCCAGCTGAGCGGAGATCCTCTCACGCAGCCTGATGCCATGCAGGTGAGCAAGGTCAGGCCAAAGCAGGAAGTTGGAAGAAAGAAAGAAGTGTGGGGGGAAGCCCAGCATCACAGTCTGAAACCAGTGATATTTTTTTTTCAAATGGGACTTTCCTTTCTTTTTAGGTTTTTGTTTTGTTTTATTTTTCTGCTAAGTCCTAGACTGTGATATCCATGGATGCTGCAGAGTTCCGCAAGAGAGGGAAGGAGATGGTGGACTACGTTGCAGATTACCTGGAGAAGATAGAAAAAAGACAGGTCTTCCCAGATGTGGAACCAGGATATCTGAGGACTCTCATTCCAGACTGTGCACCGCAGGATCCTGAGAGCTTTGAGGATGTCTTTAAGGACATTGAGAAGATCATTATGCCAGGGGTAAGGAAAATAGATCTGTAGTGCAATATTCAATGCTGCATCTGGGATTTCAAAAACAAACGTGTGGATGAAAGTTGTGCAGATAAACTTTACAAGCAGAAGTACCCACATTGCTTAGCTTTTAAAAGGGAGGAATCTGCTATGTATCTGTAGTTAAACATGATCCAACACTTTACTAACACTTTCTGCTCTTTCTAGAAATAATAAAATGATTATTTTGCTTCATGTGAGACTTGCTTTTGGAGATAATCCCCTTTTCTATCTTGAATGGGTTAAGGCAGATCTTTCTACCATTCCATTTTATGTGCTACTTTTGCTGTTTGCAAAGCACAGTGAATATTTTCTAAAATGGAATTTTTATTAGTCTACTGTACATAAAATGTTCCTTCAAACTGATCTTTAAATATTGAAGTTCTCTTCTGAGATTTCTTTTTATTACAGATCTGACTAGAAAGGATTCTCTCCAGTACTTGTCATATTGACATATTCTCCTAAATGCTGACTTCTTCTAGTACACTTTAAGGCAGATGGTCATTGCCTAAATATTAGTCTTTGGATAGATTACTATTGAACAGACAATGTAAATCAAAGCATCTGGCATTTGTTCAGCTCTAAATCTTTCTTGTTTCTCCAGTCATGCTATACTTTTTTTATTTTAAATATATATATATTTGTCTTCTAATGACTTGAAACAGCTTGAAAAGGACTGGATGATTAATAGATGTTAATTAAAAAATATCCTTTGGATACTTTCAATAGTATTTTTACATTACTTTTCTGTGTGTAGATAGGTGATGCAATTGTTATATGACTAAACATGGAATCACTGCTCTGTAGATGCTTTTAGTCAGTGTACTTTAATATCAGTTCCTTTTCATTGACCAGTGTAAATATTTGATGCATTTTTTTATCGTTTCCCTTGGTGCCAACCTGCTGTCTCGCTGACTAAAACTCCACTGAATTCAATGAAAATTGCTCCACTCTTCACAAAGGTCTGTGGATAAAGTCTTAAATCCAAAAGAATTAAATTAGTGTAAATTCAATAAGAGAATTATGGCCAATGCATGCAAATACTTTGTTTCTTATAGCTGTTGTTTAAATATGAAATGTATTATGTATTACAATACACTGCAGTTCATTTTAAAGACAGTTTATACCAAATGCTCATACTATCTGATGATAATAAAATGCTAGATATGAAAATACATTTAGTTTTGAAAGCCTTTTCTTTTCTACTGGAGGAAAATGTTAACCATTTGTTTTTCTTGAAGTAGAACAGAGAACACTTTGCTAATCGGAATACTTCAGAATGCTCAGTGAAATAATAACAAATTAAAAAAATAAGAGATGAATCATTTGAGACTAGAATGTGAGACACTGAATTCCAGTTATTTCATTTTGTCATGTTTCCTCTTACCTAACATGGTTTTGCAAATAAATAGCAAATAACTATTGACTTAGTGAAAGTGCATTTTGAACAAAAAAAGTTTTATCCAGAACTTTCATCTGGTATGAAATGTTAGTATTTGTGACACAATGAGCGTGAGTATATAAATCCTAGTTCTAGTAGTAACTCTGATTGTGCCTGTGTTGTTTAAATTAAATACTGAAATCTCATGAAAACTGTGTCACAGGATAGCTTAGGATGGATAGCATCTCTAAAGATCATGTAGTCCACCTCTATGCCAAAAGCAGTCAGTCAGAATGTGGCAAATTGAGTGTTGAACATCTCCAAAGATTGTCTTTGCTACCTCTCTTTCCTGTTCCAAAGTTTGGTCATCCTTACAGTAAAAGAAGTTCTTACATTTAAGTTGAATTTCCTGTATTTCAATTTGTTGACATCTTGTCTTGAAACTGGATACCTCTGAAAAGAATGTGGCATCTTTATATGTGCTCCAGTGAGGCATTTATACACCTTCATAAGATCCCTCACCTGGGCTTTTACAAGCTGAACAATCTTAGCTTCTCAGCTTCTTGTTATATGAGTGATACTCTAATCCATTAATTGACTTCCTGGCCCTTCATTGGACTCACTTCAGAGTGTCCATGTATTTCTTGTATTGAAGAAGTCCAGAGTTGGATACAGACTGCTGATGTGGCCTCACCAGTGCTGAATAAAGGGGAAGGATCACCTCTCTTGACCTGCTGGTAACAGTTTTCCTGATGTAGCCAGGATGCTGTTAGCCTTTATTTGCCAAAAGAGCACATTAATAAGCCATGTTCCAATGTATTTTTCCCATTACCCCTAAATTCAGTCCTGCAGAGTTGCTTTCCAGATAGTTGATCCCTGGCTTATGCTAGTTCAGGGTGGAACTGAGGGAACAGCCAGACTTTGATTTCTGCAGCAGGAAGCCAAGTGGAAGGAATCTGGGTACAAAAATATCAGACTTCTGTCTCAGACTTACTTTGTTCTTTGGAAATATCTGCCCTCTTTTTTTGGAGCTAAAAACGCTCAAGTTTATCTGTGACTGCACGTAGTGCCAAGACAATACTTTGCTGCAAACTGGATTCCTTAACCTGTGAGCTTTCTGCTGAAGCACCTATTGCTACTATGTGGTGAAGGAAGACTCTTGTTCAGTCTAAGCAAACCACAGAAAAAAAGACATCCTTAGATGAGATCTGTGGAAAAAAAATGTCTTTGAAAAACACGAGTATGATAATTATTGAACCAAAGACACTTGTGTATCATAGTTTATCAGTACAGGGCTAAATAAACAAGCATCAGTGGTGTCACACCCTTTGCAATGTTTGACTAAGTGTGTCTGCTGGCAAAAGAGATGAATTTTAGAGCTGATTCACATGAAAGGGAGGCAGGAGAGGAAGAATCACAGCTGCACTTGCCCTGGGGCTTTTGGCTTTTTTTCTCTGTGAAAGTGGTGCAAATTGTATTTGCTGTGTTTCATCAAATGAATGGCTCCCAGCAAGTAGGCAGTTTAACCTGATTAACCCAAGATGAATGTCAAAAGTCTTGCAGATCACGAAGGATTATAGCTGGGTAGATGAACGGTAGCAGCCCTGGTTCATTATGAACGTCAGTGAAAGTCTGTGCATGTGGGTCCTATCAGAGACTTCTGTTTATTGGGTATTTTTAATCTGTTTTGTGTTTTGCTGTTAATAACCATATCCCAACCCAGGTGTTTTTTTTTTCTGATTTCTGAAAGAAAGTGTCTACCACTAGTGCTCTAAATCTTCATTGCAGCAAAGAAATATCACTACTGTATAGAGCAGAGACAGACAAATACATCTACAGTGGCTTGCCTTTGAATTTGTGATTTGAGTAGATCTGGACGTAGTGACTGTAAGAGTGAAATCTTGAACATACCATATGCATGGCTCTTTTAGGCAACGGAAAATGTAATGAGATGGTTTCATGTGAAGGGGCAGGGGCATCTGAAAGGTATGTATGGTATACTGCAGTATAGAAAGTGACGCCTGATTCATTATACACATCTAAGACAGTTTACATTAGCAAGGTGTATGTTCCCAAGGGACAGCTGCTTGTTGGCATGAAGAAGGTTAGGCAAGGAAAAAAAAAAAAGGGTGTTTGCAGCCTGCGGAACAGTGGGAATGCATGCAGAACAAATCAGTAAGAAAGACACTGAGATCAGGCAAGAGATTGTGTGTGTTCCTCCTATTCTTCACTTGCAACAGAAGAACTCCAATATTAAATAACAAAACAAAAAAAAACCTAACAGTTTAAGGCAAGGCTAGCTTCAGTAACTCAGCAGCCTCCAGATTTCTTGCTGAGGAAAAGCACTTGTAAGCAAAAATTCAGCAGAACACTTATAATTCACCTAATTCTCTAAAAGCATTTTTTTTCTTAAATTTACCTATTATCTTGAATAAGATAAGCACTTTGTACCTTATTACTTCCACTGAGCATTACAGTGTGGCAGTGCATTTCGTGTTTTCAAATTTTATTAGATTGGAGTTGTGGAGCCCTATTGAGTGTCTTATAAAGTCTTTAAAATTGCTTAGGTACTGCAGAAAATGCTTCTAAATGCGGTTGCTGCAAAATAGTCACCAGGTTTTGTGCAGTTATTGTGTTTTTATTAGTATGCACAACTTAAATTGTATATAAATCATGATCTGTTACTGAGAGATGATAGTGTAATTTTCTGGAGAAAGCACTGGGTATTGGAATGGATTCTTTCATTTTGGGGGAGGGGCTATTTGGTCAGATTTGGTGCATGAATTTGAGCAAACGGATGCAAGGCATGGGTGAGAGAGGTCTGTGCATTTAAAGACACATTTGCTAAATCAGTTGCATGACAGAGATCAAATAGAGAACTGTGGAGGAGTCTCTGAAAACAGAGGATCAAGAACCATACCCTGCACAGGAACTCATGCTGCCACTGTGCGAACAGTTCTTCTAGGCTGACAAAAACAGAGCTCCGATTATGGGACTGTTAGGAGGCAGGGGCAAGAACTAAATTCAGCCAACGTTTTCTTTCTAATTTGAGTAAAAAGGAGGTTTTAATTTTTTTTAATTTTTTTTATTTTTATTTTTTTTTTAAGAGAAAAACAAGCTAAGCTTCTCTTAAAAACTGGATCCTATGTTACAGCCATGTAATGAAGAACTGTTGACTGGTCCTTACCTCCTGTCCTCTTCTGATTTTGTGACCACTTGTTTGTGCTTCTGCATTAGTTACAAATGACTGTTTTTCTCTTACTACAGGTGACTCACTGGCACAGTCCCTACTTTTTTGCCTACTTCCCTGCAGCCAGTTCCTTCCCAGCTCTTCTTGCAGACATGTTATGTGGTGGAATAGGATGTGTGGGCTTCTCTTGGGTAAGTTTATTGGGGTATATATAGCTATGAGGTAATGACACTTTCCCTTGCCAAGATTTAAAGTGTTTCAATGACAGTCTTCAGTGAAATTATTAATAGTAATGAAGTCACAGGACTATTTTTTATAACTACATTTCCTTGACTTATTAAGTGCTTTCACAGAGCACTGTTTCCTCTTGGAAGTTCTGTCCTAGAAAAATTACCATCATTTAGAATTAGTAGTAATAGTGCAAGCTTACTGGTTACTCACTGCATAGTATGACCATGCTTACTGCTTGGTTATGTTATTTCTTGTATTGTGGAAAATTATGTTAAAAAAACAACAACAACAACAACAAAAAAAACATTCATGCCAGATGGGCTCTTCTCAGTAAAGGTTGGTAATGGATGTGGAAGAAAAGAAGAGTTCTGAAGATACAAATCCTAGCTTTGACATTTGACAGTCACAGTTCTTCTATATGAGGTCCAATTTGACATTTTTAAATAATCAGGCACGCCATTTATGAACTGGTTGCTAGGTCCCTAATTTAGCTGGTAAAGGAAGCAAGTCTTTTCCTCTGTATTCTAAAGATAGCAGGAGAATGATGCACCAGGGCAAGGCTTTTGTTTCTCTTCATACCCTAGTGAGGTTATTTTCTGTTCTTTTTTTCATCACAGGCTGCAAGTCCAGCATGCACGGAGCTGGAAACTGTCATGCTGGATTGGCTAGGGAAGATGATTAACTTGCCTGAAGAGTTTTTAGCTGGAAAGGATGGGCAGGGTGGAGGAGTCATTCAGGTAAGAGAAGGAATACAGGTTAAGAAAAATACAAGATGAATTTCTGATCTTTATGATTTTGTGACACCACTGTACCAAAATATTAATAAAGGGTATTTTTGTTGTCAGTTGGGTGGATTCTTTTTAGGCTTTCAGAAAGACTGATGCATAGGGAGAATGTCCATGGGTGGGTAGGAACATTCATGGCAGTAATGGAAAACAAACAAACAACAAAAAAGCTCTGAAATACTATTCTCCATGAAAAATTGTTATCAACAACTTAAGAAAGCCATCAACAATATGCAGTAATGTTTAATGCCTAAAAATGACAATTAAAAAATCTTCTTAAGTAGAAATATATGTTAGGATTATAAATAAAAGGGTTTACAAAAGCTTATGTGAAGTTCACCTTGGACATCTTTGAGTATTTGTTTCAGCCTTCCTTTTTTTTTTTATTAGGGATCAAACAATGGATAAGAATATAGCAGAGAAACTACTTGAAGTAGAAATAACTCAGTACAGTAGAAAGTCTGTTAATCTTTTTCACAGAAATCGACATAATTTTAAGAAGTTTTCCTTACATTAAAAAAAATGGAAAGTTTAGAACTAGATAGTTAGAATAAAATGAAGCTGCTTAAAATTTGAACCAAAAATGTTTTGTCGTTAGATAGCACAGTTTTCAGTCTGCAGTTCCATATCCAACATAAAACTCCAAACTTTTGGAAAGTTGTGTCTTTAATGAAAGCCCACACTATCTGAACAGAACATCTGTATGATAATGAATATATTATCAGTGGGTGATCTTGCATGTGTAATAAAGCTATATAGATTGCTACCATGGCTTGCTCCTACACTGCATGATCTTTATTCAAATGCACAGAATTTGGTTGTGGTTATTCACCTAATTAAAATAGATTTCTGCCATGGGAAAGACAGAACTTTAAATATTTTTTCTTTGCTCATTTGATAATTTCTGAAGTCCAGTGATTGGAGATATAGGCATAGTCTGTTTTATGCTTTGTTTTATGCTAAGATTGGCTTCTAAAACATATCTGAACTACATGCTAAAAACGGCAGCTTCTTTCTTTGATCTCAGCTGCAACCACTTGAGGCATATTTCAGTAAATTCTGCCAGCGTCTTCCCAGGTAACTCCAAATTTAACCCAACTGCTATAATTCTCATAGGTGGACCTGCACCTACACCTGTGTATTTTTCAGAGTAACTTTACTCATTCTGCTTGCTTTGTTGGGACCTTTTCCATTACGGTTACTAGGCAGAGTGTTTGAGAAATCAAGCTTTTGTCGTGCATCTCTAGCATTTATTTGGTACCAGTAAAAGCAAGCAATTATGCCTGATAGTTATCGGCAGGAAAAATTGCCCTTCCAGGCTGACAGTGCTGGATTGCCTATAATTTTCATCAGACACAAGTCGTTTCAAGAATCGAAAGTATGTTCTGTGTTCTTGCTTACAATGAAGTCATTTATGCTGCAGATCTTGTCTTGCTCTTGAAACAGTAATGATACAAATAAGAGAGCATGAGGCAAAAGCAACGTGAGAGTGTGAAACTGCCAGTCATTCCCTTGGCAAATACCAAGTAATTGTTGCAGTATTGGGTAAAACTGAGCCTGTGAAAATTAGCTTTTAATTACATCTGAAAGCCTATGTCAATATGAAGCACTGTGTTATTGTGAGCAGGATGACACTTGAAAATGGCAAAAGATGAAAGAAAATTTCAGTTCAGAGCTCTGGTGGACATGAACATCAGCTCTTACTGATATTTCTTCTGCCTCTTGAGCCTGCTTGCCATGGCAACCTTTGTTTGCTTGCGGTAAAAGGAAAGGAATCATCATCCTTCACTTAATGCAGAATGCAGCGTTCAAGAGCAGAAAAAAACAGCTTTTAAAAATGAGAAAACTACTTTCTTCGTGAAGCTTGTCTGAGTACAGCACACATATCCTGCTGTTCATTCTAGACAAACTGCTGAAAAGTTTGAATTTTAAAGAGTTTAAACTCTGCAAAGAAGAAGTATTTTAAGAGTGAAATAAAATCAGACTCAGCCTATCTTTGTTTTGGTGAGAAACATCCTGATTTTCCCATCAGTAAACAGTAGTCTGAGAACCAGGGGATTTTTTACTCAAAGTCATTTAGGGCACGACTGTGGTGCCAAGTGAATAGATAAGCTCTACAGACCACATTTACAAACATTTTTTGTCCAAAAAGGGGACTAATGGAATTGAGGGAAAGGTGGGAAAAAGTCTGTTTCTGTTATGAGCCATCAAAATGTATTTCCAGGTTGCTTCTAGGCCATATTCCAGTTTTTCCAGCCAGTAGGCAAGATCCAGCTGCATAGATGGCCTCCTTCTGTCTAACTATGCTTCCATGAAATAAGATTTAGACAATCGCTGTTGTATTTGGTGTCTAGGCACCAGGTGGGTGAAAGATAGTCAGGATACCAGAACAGATCATGGCACTTCTCAGAAGATGGAGGCGTTTCCTGAGCCCGAGTGATTTGCCCTGATTAAGCCCTTAGAATAGTGGGAGCTTAGATTTCCAAATATCAAATTAGTGCCTTAACTTTTGGAATTTCCTACAGTCATTTTCCTGCATATACTTTTGCACACTTATTAAAAATACAAACTTATTATATGTCCTAGAAAGATGCTAAGAGTTTTACAAGGCCTTATCTTTGCCAAAAACGAAGAAAAAAAAAAAAGAAAGAAAAAGGATTTTTCCATATATACTTGAAAGATGTGTCCTCATAATCAAGTATTTTAATACTTTAATAATAAGTTATACTTCCTCCCAGATACTAAACACATGGATGCTAGAGGAAACTTTACAGTGAAGAACTGTGGTTTGGAAAGGTTGCTCCGAGTGACTCGTGGAATTAAGATAAAACCCACGGATAAGTTTTATGCTGCCCAACTTATTTCTGTAGACATATAACTCACCTGAAAGACTGTGTGAGCACCACAGTAAGTTGCAGCAGTTTGCACTTTATTTTCATCTGCTGGAAATGATGTTTTGGACAGTATAGTATGGCATGGGGATTCTAGCATATTACTTTTTGTAGTCAATGGACAAAATTTCTTTCACCCTTTGCCTTACAAAGAAGTGCTGCCTTACTTGAACCAGGAGTGATATATATCTTCTTACAACATTCTGCATAGGATGTATGCTTTCCTGTAATGTTCTGTGTATATTTTTCTGTAATATTTCTTTGAGATACTGTGAGGCTATGAGCAGCATCAGCAGCTAGGAGTGTTTCTTACTCATCTTTGTATTTTGCTACAGGCTCTGGGGTTTACATCCTCAAATCCCACACCCCTGGGAAGACAGATAAAACCTCTTAATCACGGCAATGCATTTAATAAATATTTAGAGACTGTACTTTTTCCTGCTCACTCTGTTCACTTTCAGCTGCTGTAAGGGCTTACTCACTGTTGATGTGTAAAAAGCAGCTCTGTCTCTTGATAATAGCTCAACTAACTTCAGTATTAGTTAGGAGGAAATCTAAGTTCACTGGGATCGTTCTCATGTATAAAATCTGTAGTATCAGGTCTATTACCAGGGAAGAATTAAGACTTCCTAAATACTTGATTACTTTATAATTAGTAAGTATGCACAGATCTTTAGTAGAGAGAGGATAGAATTTTGGTACAGAGCAAGAAACATCACTCCAAAATTATCTTGTTGACATTGGATTTTTCTGAGGTATAATCATTAATATAAGGAGGTGTATTCATTGCAGTATTACGTGCTTGGCAGAGGAAGACTTGCATAACAGTAGCTCAACTTTCAAAGTACCTAAAACCTTTGCATATGCACTTGCATATGCACACCCAAAATATGGACATTTATAAACATATGTTTACAGAAAGTTTCTTATAGTTTAAAAGAGCAGTTTGCAGCACATTTCATCTGCCTGATCCAGAGAAAAGCATACAGTGTAATTTGTGGAAACTTGTATTCTCCTCTGAAATTTACAGATCAGTTGATACAAAGAAATTCCCTGTCTTTATAGCCACAGATTACCTAATGCACAATTGAAATTCTCTTTTTTCTTTTTTCTTTTTTTTTTTTTTTTTCTTTTTTTTTTTTTTTTTTTTTTTTTAAAGTCAAAATGCAATTTAGGAGTATCCTTCTGTTTTTGATGACAGGAAATTATATAAATAATCCTTCAAAAAGCAGTCGTCTATATTAAGTCAGAACTTTTTTGTTTTTTAGTATTTTTTCTCTTGACTACAAGATAACTCTCCTGACTCAGGGTAAGTATTAAAAAAGCACTATAGCTTTTTTTTGACAGAAATGGGAGTTGTTAGATTCTGATTGAAGTTAAACGTGAAATCTAGAGTAACAGAAATCAACAGGTACTCTTACTATGGCTACTGGTCAACAGATGGTCAACATCTGATTGTTGAGAGCATTTTCATGTACCCTTAATTCTGTGAGTCTGGCTTTCTAGAATTGATTGCAAGGTTGGTGCCTACAATGAATAAGCATAGAGCAGACAAGCAGAGGCATCAGGAAAGAGAAGACAAAGGTCAAAAAGAGATTCCTCGCTTGCTGTCACACCTACTCTTAGAAAGCATTAGATTGTGCAATTTCTCATATGCAATTTCTGTTACCAACTTCGTAAATTCATATAAAAGAATATGGTGCTTTTCCTCTGAAATGTCTTCCTTTTGAACTTTTCTTCAATTTGTCACAGGGAAGTGCAAGTGAAGCCACTCTTGTTGCACTGCTTGCTGCAAGAACAAAAACCATCAGACGGGTGCAATCAGAAAAGCCTGAGCTAACAGAGGCAGATGTCATGGGCAGGCTGGTGGCCTATGCTTCTGATCAGGTGAGTGTCCTCCGAAAGCATGAACATCGAATCATGGTATTTATACTTAAAATAATTAGGTTGTCTCAATTGGCAGATTAATTCACATACTCTTTGGATTAGGGACTATTTGGTTTTGCTTGCTTAAATCTTATTATACAGCCCACATAAGTGAGCTAGAATCTACGTGTGCTACCATAATATAAATAGTAACTACTTGGAGGTCAATTTCATGGCAGTATGGGTTCTCCTGCAGTAAATCAAGATATTTGAGCAAGAGATTAATTTCAGTTGTGGTGAGTAAGCCTTGATCATATTTTGTCACTTATAGGCCTGTGTGCCCATGTCTGCACATGCAAATACACACACGTATATCATGCCCCTGTGTGCGTGGGTGCAGATGCTTGCACACAGACAAACCCACTGCGTGAATATAAGACAAATTTGTCATACTGCTTCACAGAATCACAGAATGGCCAGGGTTGGAAGGGACCTCCATGAGGATCATGAATCCCCAACCCCCCAGCCACATGCAGGGCCACCATCCTCCCAGTTCAATACTAGACCAGGCTGCCCAGGGGCCCATCCAGCCTGGCCTTGAACACCTCCAGGGACAGAGCATCCACAACCTCTCTGGGCAGCCTGTTCCAGCACCTCACCACTCTCTCTGTAAAGAACTTCCCCCTGACATCCAACCTAAATCTTCCCTTCCTCAATTTAAAACCATTTCCCCTTGCCCTGCAGTTATCAACCCTTTCAAAGAGTTGATACTTCAGGAAATCCAAAACATTCTAGGACTCCTAAAATCTCTATTAATCTAGCTGAGAAATCTAAGGAAACAAAAATGCATAATCCTTGTTTTCTGTGAGTGGTGCTTAGCAGACTGAATGAGGCTAAACTCTCAGCAGGTCAGGACTGTGAGAGGCTTTTACTGTTAATTAAAGCAAACTGTAGTTTTGTGAGTTCTGCTGCTCCTACCTTCCTAGCACTCTAATCCTATTGAAGGGCTGAGCAGTGTTGCTCCTCTCAACAGCTGTGACATTTTCTTAGTTAAATGTCAATGAGATAGAGGAAAATTTCTTAGCACTTGACGTTTAATGCAAAGTAATATCTGATTATGCAGAATAAAACAGCCTGGTTTCAAGTTTGCCTTCATTTACTACTGTTAGTTGAAAAGCATTGGAAAGCAATTTAAGAGTGCATTAGGAGGGAAAAAGGACTTGTTGCATGAGATCAGTCAGGACAAGTAAATATAAGGACAGACAACTGTTTTCAAAAGGCACAAAAGATATTTGTTCTTTTTTTGTCTGGATCCTAAGGTCTGTGTTCTGCTCAAACTTTGACCCAGTGATGCACAAAGCCTGCTACTTGTTTCCTTTTTTTTTTCCCCCATGTAAATGACTGACTTGAAATGAGAACTGACAGGCCTCCATGTATGCTGAAGGTCAGGGGATCTTGTGTTTACAGAAGGATTTGCCTTAAGATATTGCTGACCTTTAAAAGCAGATTGTTGCAGAGCTCACTGGTCCTTCTGCATTAAGAACAGACCTGTGTGACTCATAGCAATAATCCACAAAAGAAAGTAAGCCTAAGGCATTCTGAGGGAGAGAAAACTGTGCGCCAGCAGAGCAAAACAGTGCAAGACTGCAGTAGCAGGGTGGCAGAAAGCTTGTCAGTAGGGAGACTCAGATCTCATATATCTTATGAGATGATCTTAGATTTTATGTTTTTCAGGAAGTCTCACTGAAATTGTTCTGCTCTGTATTAATGAGCACTGAGCAGGGCCAGTGACTTTCCCCAGTAACTACTTGAGGGTCTGGGGACAATGTAAGTGCCTGGGCTGAGGCACCTACTGCAAGGCCATTGACAGTGAGACCTCGGAGCTTGAAGAAGCACCCAGCTGTCCCTGGCAGTAGACATCTGACTGGGACCAGGACAGAAGTCAGGGAAGTTATTTGATATCTTCCAGTTTTCTTAGACCATTACCTTCATTGACTTTTTAAAACATTGATTGATTGATTGATTGCTCTAGCTACCTTAAGCAGCTGCCCACTCATTTCATTTTTAGTTCATTTTTCTCCTATAGGATAATGGGAGATGTCTGGGTACATTGCTGAGCACTAGGTCAGCAGCACGTCACTAAAGATTTGCTGTAAGCCAAAGTCATCTTTGTGGTTTTAACCTCCAGTTTGTGAATGGCTGTAGTTATCAGAGAGCCTTGTTCCAATGTGAGGTACTTGAAGCAATTCTTAAGTTCTTACCAGCTGAGAACTTCTGTAGTTTACTTATTTAAAATTCTTTCTTGTATAAATTATTTATAAAACACCTCTTTACATTGTATACTTAAATGAAGTAAGGTATTGCTACAGTAAACGCACCCTGTCCTACTTCAAAGGCAGACTCTGTGTCTAGACTTCCACATTTTGTCCGGCTGGAGCCTAATTAGTTTACCAAAGTACTTTAACAAGAGGTGCTGTTGAGGTACAAGTTAAGATAAATCTACCTTTAAAATGCATCATTCCATGGATAGGCGAAGTTGAAAGTCAGAAACTATTTCATCTGGTATTGTTCAGCCTATGTTTTGGCTTAATCTTCTCCATGCTTGCATGCTAAATTAGAACAGAATGGTTAAGTGCTCTTGTAGACGCTAGCAAGGCTCAAGAAGGGTAGCATGGAGATTGTGAGTGAAATTAGTCAGGATATGAAAAAGTGAGAAACTTCTCTTTCAATTGATTGATGATTAATGAAATATTAGAAAGGTGAAAGGTAAAATTGGTTGGTATTTTTTTTTGGTGTTGTTCTTGCTTTCCCATGCCTTAAATGAGCATTTTGTTGCTAACCACACCTTTTACTATTAATAGAATTACCATTATATTATACTTCTAATTTTTGAAGATTTCTATGTGGTTTCTTTATTTTACTTTTCTGAGATGTGCTTTATGTTCTTAAAAAAATATTATTTTTAGGGATAAATAAGATGTGTTATAAATAAAATAAATTATTGGGAATATTCCTTAATTACCTAGCAAAATAAATGAATGACTGAACCAGAATTTATTCAGTAGTTAATTAAAACAAAATGATCGTGTAAGAAAATATCTTAATCTACATCACACTTCGTTGTATATATTCTTTTTATTTTTGGCAAAAGTGAATACCATAAAAATGTGCTCTTGAGCAACTAAATTATTTTGAGACACGATGTTTATCTGTGTAGTTTTTGGTTGATCTGGAGCCAAATCCTGAAGCTTTTAATCAATTCTACCTAATAGAAGATATGTTAATTAAAGATCTCACTGATGTTTATTGAATTCTTGTCTGGATGAGGCCATGGCAATAGTTTCAAGAATACTTCAGGGTTTCTAGTGGTGTGTTGGTGTGCATGCACATGTGAGTAAATGTGTATATGTATGTGTTCTCATTTGTCTATCTATCTGAAAGGAAAGAAAGAGTATTACTAAGTGTTAGGTACCAGCAACAGTTCTGGAATCTCAAATGTTGCTTTACTTGAAAGAAATTTTTCTGTTTTTCACATTCAAATAAACTCCTTAAATTCCAATAAAAAATGGCTGTCTTAAAACTTGCCTATTTCCTTGCAGGCTCATTCATCTGTGGAAAGGGCTGCGCTGATCAGTGGTGTGAAGATTAAAAGTGTGCCTTCAGATGATACTTTTGCTGTTTGTGGTTCAGCCCTAAAGAAAGTTTTGGATGAAGACAAAGCTTCTGGTCTTATTCCATTCTTTGTGAGTACTGGATTTTAAGTCATCAGTGGATTTATTCTCATCAGTTATTTTTGGGAGAATAGATGATCTTATTCCTAAAAGAGGGTTTAACGGGCTTGAATATTAATATTAATAGGTTAGAATATTACGAGTTTCCATGAATGTTCTTCATGCACATGAGCTTTGCTAGAGACATTTCAAGTGTTTATATGTGCAGAAAAAATAATTGTAACTAGAGGCATTCTTGAAGTTTAAGAAGCATTAATTTGCAGGAGGCGCAACACGTTTGAGCAGCTGGTTGCACTTCTGAGCAGAAAGAAATTTTTAAAAGGAGATGAATTTGTACTAGACATTTAAATAAGTGCAGGTGAATTTTCTACTTGTGTTTATCTAATCCTGCAACGTTATGGTCTCCTAACACTTGAGTTCCAAATGGCCTCTTATTCAAAGAATAGTTGTTATTTGTCAGATCAACTCCTTTCAGCTCAGAACACCATCTCATCATTTCAAGTTAAAATGATATATTTTTTTTTTCATGGAAGAAATAACCTCTGTTTTGTTTCATCAACAAAACAATTTGCTCATTTCCAAGCATTATACCTCGACAAAACTTGATTTAGACCGTGATCTGCATAGATTTAAAAGGGGATGCAATATGTCAGCAATAATATATTTTCTATTGACTTTCCATTAAATAAAAATTAGAGCTTAAAGAGTATCTCTTAGAAATTGAGAACTCTAGAAATGAATTTTTAAGGAGAATAAAAAATGTCACTTCCCCCCCCCAGAAAAGTCATGTCTGACAACAGTTGTTCTTTTCTTTCATGTGGTAACATTTTGAAAAGTGCTAACGTGGCTTAGAATTCTTTGAACAGTTTTTGGAAAAAATAGCTTTTTTGCCAAATGGGAATGAGGTAGCTTGTATTTCATCAAGCCTTTTGAAAATGTAATCTTTCTGCTGTTGTTATTAAGCTTTAGTGTCTGATCTTAAGTATTATGAGAATGAGCAGAATGAAAAATGTTTTTCATATAAGCTAGGGTGTCAAGAATTAGCAAGTCATTGGGGTAACCGAGCACATCCCATCAGCTGCTTTCCTGCATGATGAGTATGACAGAGAGACAAAGCATCTGTAGGGTTGGCTGAATGGACTTCCTTCTTTTGAAATGGAGATGTGCCATAAGGTTTCATGTCTGTTATATTGTAACAACTCGTAATATTTGATGCAAAGTCCTACTTTTTTTTATCTTACTATAAATGTTATATGATTCCAAATATAGCACTACATCACATATCTATGCACTAACAACAAAGTTAATGCTTTCTCCTTATCCATTTGCAAAAAAAATGCATCTTGCCCCTCTTGAATATTCATTTCTTATTAATATTCCTGTGTGTAGCAAGAGGAAATCAAAAATTCTCTTTTATGCATTCAGCAACACCTTTTCAAAAGGTAATTTAACTGTTGTTTATTTTTTCCTCTGTTTGCTTAGCTGTGCAAGAGGCTTTCTAAGGCAGCACAGGCTCAGTCTGTGTTAACATGGCCTGTGCCAGGTCTTCCATTTATTTGTATACATAAAACATGTCAGGTTAGATTAAACTAGATCTCATTATCCTTATGGCTGGCCTCTTAACTCCAAAGGTGTGCTAATTCTCTGTCATGCTGAACAGCAGTCCATGCGCTGTATTAATGCTCCCTCTTCAGCCTTGCAGATTTCAAAAACCTTTGCATTTCTTTTGTTCTTTTGGTGCTATTTTATTTAGTTCCGGTGACAAACTGAGGCACATTGCCAAGGAGACACCTTATGCCACTGTGTTCTTTGTCTCCCTGTTTGCACAGATCCTTTACTAAGGAGAGTGATTCAACATCAAAGCAAAGAGTTTAACAGAGGAAAAAAAATACAAGCAAATTTCAGTGCTTTATATACAGAAATCTTGCTCTTGTACTCATTTGTATTGAACAAATGAGAAGTTGTTATATTGAAGTTTCTTGAAGAAGTGAATGGTGAATCAGGAGTGCATTTCCATGATATGAAGGAGGTTCTGTCATTACAGCAACCTGTTAATTACGTGTTTGTTTTCCTCATACATAAGGTCTAGTAATCAAGCTTTTGGGGGGAGGGGGGAAGGGGGAGGTAGGGGGGAGGAGTGAGACATTTAGAAAGAGCCCTTGAATTCCTATCTACCATCTTTTAGCATTAGTAATGTGTATGCTAAAAGATGGTGGATAGGAATTCAAAGGCTCTTAGTGTAAGTTGCTGCCAAACAGTGGACACAGAACATTGCTTTTGTTTCCTTTAAAAAAATAAAAAAATAAAAATCAGACTTGTGTTGATTTCTCTCTTTCAAAATACTTGTGAAGAAATTGAAATGCAGACATATTTTGATACAGTAAAGCAACCAGACTGTAAAATGCTTCTAACTGTGTCAGGTAAGGGGGAACTGAAGTTGTCATGATTTACCATGGAGCAGTTTCCTAGTGTGTCTGATACTCAGCCCTGCATCTGGTCATCAGTGAAGGGAGAGCTGTGTCCTGAAATCCTGTGCTGAAGTTGTGCTCATTTCATTACTTATGAACATTAACTAAAGGTTAAGTGCATGATTAAGTACTATTCTCCTTTAGGACCTATGCTCCCAGTTTGAGATAGGATTAAATTGGATGAGTGTTAATGAGAGATGCCCAAATGTGGTGAGTCATGCACTGCTAAATTCAGAGGTAGGGTGCACTGCTTTAGAGCCTCCTTTACTTGAAGTGTGTGATAGTCTGTGGGCTTTATCCTGTCTGTCATAAATCAGCACAGCTATATTGCAACTGGTGTATATATTGTACAGTATATTTCAACAAGCTCATCCAATGTCATGCTGCTGCAGTGGGATGCTTTTCCTGCTTAACAAAGGCCCTGCACAAAATCTCTCAGATTTTTACTGAAATGACTCTTCTGAAGGATGATCTGCAGGAAAGGCTGTTTATATCTGGACACGTTCAGGAAGCAACAATTCAGCTGGACAGAAAGAGGGGACATCTTTTCAGTAGGTGTTAGCTCTAAGAGCCTAACCACAGATTTCTATTTGGAAGGAGTATTCTTGAGGCACATACAGATACCCAGGGTAATGTTTCTTAACCCACGCTACATGAGTGCAAGCTGGGAAAGAGCTGAGTTGGAGAAAATAAAAGTAAGAACATTGGAATTTCTGCCTCAATTTAGTGGACTGCAAATGGAAATTTTTGTGGTGAAAGTATGCAAAATGTATCTGTATCTTTTTAAGAAGCTGTCAGAGGTCTTCCAGTCGAGAAGATTGAGTCACTGCTCTCAGGCTTCATAAAGGTTCGTGTATTATCCCCAGCGTAACTCAATTTCAGGAAAGTAATATGTGCGAAGACTGATTCAAGCATTTTAGCTGCTTTGCATTTGCAGCTGACTCTGAGGCAAATCTGAAGTGCACAACCTATGGATGGAGAAGGCCTTCAGGCTCTACTAAGCCATCAGCCCTATTTCTGTGATTCAGCCTGTCCCCCACCCCCTGCATAAATGTGATTTTCCTGATGTTGTACAGGTTACAAATTCAGTTAGGTTTGTTGGTTAGCACTGAGGTAGGGTAATGAGAGCCATGACAAGAGCAGGTGCTGTCATTTTAAGTGGCTTCTGAGAATTAAAACAAGTAGCTCTTGAAGCTTAGACATTGCAGAGAGGACAACAAAATTATTTCAGTAACTGGGGTATCCTTTACAGAATAAGGCATTATTCAAATGACTTAAGCATATGTTTGAATTCATATAACCTCTCATGGAAACAGCATACTCCTTACACTATCAGAGGGCACTGATTTAGCTGCAGTGCAACGCAAGTAACAAGTGTTTCTAAGTTTCTCTTGTGAAATCGCTGTGATTACTTTAATTGCCAAACTGACTAGCAATTCACTCTAATCTTATCAGAAAGTCCACTGCCTATTATTATAAAATCTATGCATAAGAGCAGAGCTAAGTCTGTAGTTCGCTCTTTCTCTTGGTAGTTTCATTGGAAAAGTCCCCTGCTCCTCCTGAACCCAAAAGCCCTGTCTGTCTACCCATTATGGAGCTGTGTGACACAAATGCACTGTATGAACTAACTTGTGACATATAACTGTGTGTATATTTTGCTAAGACAGAGTGTTTGTTTTCTGAATGGTGTTGTAGATGGACAAGGATCACATAGGTGTTCATTATTCTTTTATCAGGATCTCTCATGAGTTCTTGGGGGGGAATTGCATACGCACACAGTAGAAAACCTCTGCAAAACATGGCTAACTGTTGGTGTACAGGGAAAAACAGAGGAAACTGAAGATGGTGCATTGACAGTGTTGGCAGAAACAAATGAATAACAGCCAAAAAAAAACCCAAGTACAAACATAATAACAGTTATAAAATTTTGGTGATGTATTCGTAGTCATCTGGCTGGGCTATGATCTACATGTAACCCTGGATGAACGATCTAATTACTTCTTACCACTCTAACTATAAAACAGCATAATTATTTGTCTATACAAACTGAAAGTGTATTTTATCATATAGTGATTTCATACAAGGCAAAATTGACTCCCAGCCTTTATCAGTAGTTACAAAAATAAGACTAGATGTTTAAAATGTAAGGGGAGCAATAAAAACTAAAATGTCAGCTTAAATGTGCTTGAATTTTCTGGGCTATAGCTCTATCTGGATTTTCTCAGTACATTACTGTCGCTCATTTTCACCTCATTACATTCTTTTACTACTGTGATACTTTCTTCAGTATTTATGTTGCCCTGCTTTTGGTCTTGCAGCAGGAGACACTAAGTGAGAAATTAACACAATTCTAGGATGAACCTAGGAGAAAAAGTTTAGAATGGGATTAAATTTTGCAAAGTTGACAGTGAACATAAGCTACTAGAGGACAGGTCCCAGGCTGCAGATCCCTGGAGTGTAAATCAGGTAAACAAAACAAATATCCGAGTCTCTTCAGTTCAGGCAGTAACTTCTAATTTGCTCAAGTTCAGAGATTTCCAGTATAGCATTAACTGAAAATCATTTTGATGATAATTTTGAATGTGGGACTGGAATCGGGCCACATGATAAACATGTGGCAAATACAGAAAATATATAAAATTTCTGTTAATATAATATTGTGACTGATTAATCAGACAACTTTACAAGGACACTTGATTTTATGCATTTGACTCCATAAGAAGCAGGAGAGCTTTGAGAAAAAAAAAACCTCCTAGATTCACAAAAGCTATACTGTAGGACACGTATTGGTTAAAAACAAATGATTTTATCCTATAATATCTATTCTTTCTCTTTACAGTTGCCTTTCCAGACAGTTCTTCTGACTTGACAATTTTCTTTGCTGTGACATTTAACAGTTTCTTGCCTTTTTTTTTTTTCTTTTTCTTTTTTTGGTTCTGCAGTTTTGTGCGACACTTGGAACCACACCTTGCTGCTCCTTTGACAAACTGCTAGAACTGGGTCCTATTTGTAAGTCTTTATCAGCTGCTACTTTCTAAAATTGCAGATACCAGCTTAAGCTGTGCTGAGTCATTTCCAGGGTATTGTGTAGTGTCACTGCCTGAATTCAGTAAAGCTACTTACAGACTTTAAGTGACAATTTTCTTTCTAATATTAGATCAAACAGTCTCTGACCGCTAAAGAAGACTGAGGACATTGCCTCAAGATTTTTGAAGGAGCATTTTGGAATGCTTTCAATGAAAACACACTGTATTTTAGTTTGTAACGTTTAGGCCTGTACATGCCAAGATTGTCTAGAGCAATGGAGAAGATCACGGAAAAGCTGACCTCTGAGTCTCCTTTGCACCCAAAGCTTTGTTTCTGTTTGGTTCTAATGACTACAGAAGGCAGGGAAATTATACACCAAAAATACAAATGTGTTTGTAGTCCTTCCTCTCTTCTATGCTATTTCCTTCTTACAAGAAGACAGGACAGGTACCAGTGTGCTGAATACAGTGGACAAGCCATGGGCTTTTCCTGTGTTTTCTGAGTTAATGATCTGCTGAGGCAAGCTTTGATCTGCAAAGAAGGTTGGTCAAATGAATACACTTGCTGGCTGATGAAAATTTGACAGAATTGCATCATATATATTTCAGTGTATCTTTAGAGCAGGCTATTTATAGGCATGGAACTTTGATCTTTTGTTCATTTATTCAAGCAGAGCCTAAAACAGAGTTTAGGCGGTGATGATGTGCTTTAAGTTCCCTGCTTCTCAGCTCAACCCCCAAAGACACAGTGTTCTAGTCCTCCTTTCTGAAAAGGTTTTCTAGTGACCTGCTTAGCAGCTTGAAATTGTTTTGCTCTTCAGAGGATTCCTACAGACCTGATCTATTAAAACAGTAATACCAATACTCCTTGGATAGCAATTAATTGTGACTGTTTTGCAAAGTGCTCTCAGTGTCTTCCTGCTTATGCAATGGAGTCCAGCAGGATTACACACTAATCACATCGTAAGTCTTAAATTAAAAATTTAGTCTTAAATTTTATTTATTTATTTATGTTTGTGTAGAGGAATCTTCTTGTTAACATAAATGACCAGAAGTCCTATAAAATAAAGGCAGTGTCTCAAACCAAATGCAGACAAAAATAAATAATCAAATGAGCTTTGAGCATTTCTTCAAATAAGACTACCTTATCATAGAATGGTCTGGGTTGGAAGGGACCTTAAAGACCATCCAGTTCCAACTTCCATGCTGTGGGCAGGGACACCTTCCACCAGCTCAGGCTGCCCAGGGCGGCCCCGTCCCACCTGGCCTTGAACGCCTCCAGGGATGGGGCACCCACAGCTTCTCTGTGCAGCTGTGCCAGGGCCTCACTGCCCTCTGAGTGCAGAATTTCCTCCTAACATCTGACCTAGATCTCCCTTCTTTTAGTTTAAAACTATTCCCATGTGTCCTATCACTATGCATACATTTGAAAAGTTATTCTCCCCTTTCCTTGTAAGCTCCCTTTAGGTACTGAAAGGCTGCAATGAGATCTCTTTTGGGCCGTCTCTTCTTCAGGCTGAACAGGCCCAGCTCCCTCAACCTCTCTTTGTGGGAGAAGTGTTCCAGCCATCTGACCGTATTCATGGCCCTGCTGGAACTGCTCCAGCAGCTCCATGTATTTCTGGCACTTGGGGCCAAGACCTGGATGCAGTACTGCCTCAGGAGTGCAGAGTAGATGGGAACGATGACGATCGCCTCCCTCACCCTGCTGGCCACCTCTCTTTTGATGATGAAAATAATAATATTATGCAAAATGTAGTTTGCAAGAATGCAAATTCCTACATGACCTTGGTGCCCCACTGCAGATCTGAATGGCATGTACAAATATGCATTAGAATTAGTTTGTGACCAGTGGGCTTCAGTCATCAGTTCATGGACTAGCGCGTTTACAGTGTGAATTAATACAGAGGATTAATAGCAGAGTGTGATTATGTAATTGCAGAAGGTACATGAGCTGCTCAAATGCTGAAGTATTTCTGCAGTGAGTAATCAAAACTGGTCCTTTCTTAACCTCTAGGACTTGCTCTTGAATAAGTGTATCAGTCCTCAAAAGAAGTAGTTTCACATGGTTCAAAAGCCTGTATATGCACATATCAATTTGTGACGAAAACCTGTTTAAAAATGTGTGTTTATTTGTGACTTACGAGTTAAAAGCAGGGAGCAGAGCTAGAACTCTAGCTCTCTCTTGCTCATGTGGTGTTATTAAATTAGGAATGAATAACTACATTCTAGATACATATTTTTAAGTATATTTTAGTGGTTCTTCCATTAAAATTGTTTAGTATTTTATACTGCTTAATAGTAATAAGGAAAACCTAAATATGTAGGGACTCTGCTGCTCTAGAAAAACTGGAGAGGAAGAATAACATTTTATGTACACATCTTAATGTAGTAATGGAAACCCAAATAGCAGCAATGTTTCATGTCTTAAGTTTAAGTTGGAAAAATACTAGCATCAAAGAAAATCTCTCAAGAACTTTGTTTTACAGTTTTTAATCTTCTGTTTAATTTATTTTTCATTCAATTATTCCTTTTTTTTTTAGGTAATAAAGAAAACATCTGGATGCATATTGATGCAGCCTATGCTGGGAGTGCATTCATCTGTCCTGAATTCAGGCATCTTTTAAATGGAGTGGAGGTGAAGTGAGCCACCTGTTAAAACTTTGCTCTTCTGTAGGCTCTTCCTGTTTAAAGAAACATCCAATATTAATGGCTTTTCTAGAATCTCAAAGTATTCTGCACTTCAGCTTACACTACAAATCCCTGCATGTTCTATTACCTTACTTATGTTTATCTACTACTGGTTTATTCTGGAAGTATGCAAATTATTACAGTATGTGAAAGTCACTCAAGAATGGCAAATGGTAGTAAACCAAATACCCTCAAGAAGAGCACATCTGTAGCACCCTAATTCTATATTACAAAAAGAAAAAAAAGGAAAAAAAAATTAATGTGCTCATTATGCCTGATTTTTACTTGCATCGTGAGAGTCACGTAGAATACAGCAAGTAGCTGTATCTCAAAAAGAGAGAGTTTAATAACCAAGAGAGCTAAGTGAAATATTCCCCCATCAGCTCTTGTGTCCCTTTTCTCCTCCTCACTTGCTAAGCTACTTGGCATTCAGTTGCTTAGATAATGATACTTCAATTTCCTGCTGCTCCCCTCGGGCAGTCAGATAAGTCCTTGTCTTCCATGTCAGTGGAGAAAATATTGCTGTTTGGTGAAGGCAGAAGTTCAAACACAGCACAGATAGATAGTGACTAATAAAGAAGAGGAGGGAACCCCTCCCCCCCTCCCCCCCAGCAAATAAAGCATTTCTTTCTGTCTCTTTTTTATCAGCAAATGAAGCTTGTTGTAATTTCCTGTGGGGGGATATATTTTAACTTACTGTTATTGGTTCCTGAAGGAAATGAAACAGCATCCCATGTCTGGTCCAGCATTTGCCATAAAAGTAAATATTTAACAACCGCAGATAGGTTTCTTGCCTTGTGCAGTGTGGGGAGATAGATCAGTAGCAGAAAGATAGATAATCTTTTATGAGATAAATTGTTAATTGTTTATAAGTGACAAGGAAGGTTCTGAGAAGCAAATGAGAATGAACAGTGCTGCATGAAGTAGTCAGACCCTGGTGCTTCCAGGCCCCCATCTCTCCTTACATTTGATGGCAGATTGCCTCTGCCTTTCTTAACACACAGCCTACAGAAGAAGCCTTTTCCACATGATGTCTGTCTCACCTGTGTTTCCTCTGATGATGCCAAAACTGGCCTTTCCCATGATTTATATAATGTGTTGTGAGTGCCTGTTTGTTCTGTGTACACTTTTTTCTTTCAGCTTTAGAAGAAAAGATGATTTCCACTAAAAGAGAATACTTGGGCCATAAAAAAATAAGTAATTTCCCAATCATTTGTAATCTGATGGCTAAACGTGATCCACAGATTCTGAACAAAATATATAGTTTGTTTCTCTACGTGAATTTTGTGTTTATATGTCAAATAATCTTGGAAATAGAAAGCTTAGTCAATCACTTTGGAAATTTGATATGAACTGCAGCAGCTATTGCTGACTATGTTTGTGTTTATTATGTGAGAAATTGTTTAGTTTATACTGAAATATATACTTCCGCATACCATACTTATCTGAAAGGTGTAATTCTTAGCAGATGCTCCAAATTTTGATGATAACAGTAGTTTAACTGCATAATAAACCTAAATTCAATTCCCAAAATGAAACCAAGATATAACTGCAGTAGTTAATAAGTAAGGTGGTATCAGTATGAATGCTACCTAAAAAGCCCCTGTTCGGGAATGCATTCATAGTTAAGGTGTACTCAGATAATTTGATTAAGTTAAATCATTGGCACATTTCCATAATTCTTATTTATTTATCTGTTCTCAGTTTGCAGATTCATTTAATTTTAATCCCCACAAATGGCTCCTAGTGAATTTTGACTGCTCTGCTATGTGGTAAGTATTATAGAAAAAGGAAATGTTATGAAATACAAAAACCACGTGTTAAATGAATCCACCTTTCTAGGAATAGATGTTTATTTCACTTCTGTATTGAAAAGAGCTGTGGATAGCTTTAACTCTTGTAATTTACAACATTCTCTATTTCATATAATCCAATTTTATAACAAGTACAATTTAAAGGAGGAAAAGAGGGCCAAAAATTTAAAACTAGAGGGATATGTCGCTTTGTTTTTGTGAAACTAATGCATCAGACTGGTTCAATGGTAGTGGCTGCAATTCTTATTGAGCTCTCAAGGTGCTCCTCAGAGATCTTTGATCTAATTTTACTCCTTCTGTGCTTCATCCTTGAAATCAGTTGTTCACAATTCTATCTATTGCCAAAAAGCACTGACATAAATAAGGTGTGGTTGTGAAGCGAGGGGTATTCTTCTCTGATAAGAGAGGGCTTATACAAGTCTAGTAGAGAGATATGATCATTTTTTTCTTTGAGGTGAATGTCTGATTGCAAGTCTATAAGTTCCATTTCTTCTGCAGTGAATGTGCTAACTTATTAAAGTAATTTATGAAATAACACAAGCCCAAGTTTAATAATTAAATAAGAAAACTTACATGTCTGCTTAAAAACAAAAGATATATTTTCAGAAACACGCACGCATGTGAGTAGGTTGAATTAACATTTCTGACCATCACTGTGTTTTAGAGAACAAGCACGTGTGACGTGTGACATTACACACGTCTTTTTCACAGATCTTTTTCTTCCTTTTCATTAAGGTTCATGTCGGAGCCTTGATTCTTTCAAAAGCTTCTCTAAGAATGGTTGTGATTTACCTGATGAAAAGCAGTTAATTTCAAAAAGGAGTATTTTTGCAATTTGGTACTGATTTTCCAATTTCCCCAGATGACAGCAGAGATTACATTTTGATATGAAAGGATGCTAGCGTAGAAACCTGTAGACATACTTTGAAACAAAGCAAATTAACCACAGCAGTAGTAATAACATTCCATAATAGATGATCCTATTGTGTCCCAGAGTGGAATTTCCAGGACATAATGTCTACCAGCATCATGACTAATGGGTCTTATTATCAAAACAGCAGATCAGTAAATGCAGACTATTTATCAAGATAAATTAAAACATCACTTTCAGTTATAATTGAAGATTTTTGTAGAATTGAATCAGGAGGGAGAACTGAAAACTTACTTTAAAAAGAAAACTTTCAGATGTCATCGAGAAAAAAGTCACCCTTTCCTGGAAGAAAAGAAGCATGACAGTGGTTATTCAGTTGCTTTTGGTTAATCTTTGGCTCCTTTGAAATTCTTAACAAAGTTGACATTTGCACAAATATGCGTATTATTCAGCTTATATGGTACATTTTTGAATGTAAGATTGTTTCTGACATGAACACTTCAAATATTCCAAGCCTACTTTTTTCTCTTCCTTAGATAAATAGCTTAGATTCAACTCATTCATTAGTAATGGCAGTGATTAACCAAGGCTCCAGTTTGTAAGTTCCTCATAACTAGCTGTCTCTTCATACGAAAACAGGGAGAAGATGAGACTCCTTTGCCAACTTCTCCCATCTTTTTCCTGTTATTTGAAGACGTTGGTGGCAAAGTAGCCACTCTCAGAAATGATAAAATTCATCATCATTCTCTTTAATGTTTGCAGGACAATTAGGAGCCAGTCTTGTCCCTACAAGTTAAATTTCTCGTTAATTCTGCTCTCACCTATACCCTTGTGCAATCATGTTAGCACTTCTTACCTAGTTTTCTAGGAAAACTAGATATATACAAACATTCTTATGTTTCCATTTCAGGAGATTGTAGTTTTTCCCTATCAAATCTTAGACTTCAGATGTAAGGGAGTATACTTTCGAAGTGCTTTTCTCCATTTTGTTTCCTGCCTTTTTTTTTTTTTTTTTTTTTTTTTTGTGAATCATGACATAGAATATATATTTTTTGTAGGTATGAAGATTTCATTTCAAGGAATCTTAAAAGACCTTCCAAATGTCTCCTTACTGAAAGCTGCACAACTGTAGCCTAGTACTCCTAATACTAAAGCTTTGTTTCATCAAGGCATTTATATATTGGTGTTATTTGCTTGATATGGAATGAGGTATATAATTGAAGTCAAGCTCTTTGTCTTGAAGTCATATATGTAACCAAAAGACCAACTATTTCTGAGGCCTATGCCTGGTGTTCACTTCTGTTATTGTTATTTAGTGGTTTCAGCACTTTCTCCAATGAATACATTTCTCTTCCTTGCAAGCTGATGAAGAAAATCCAGCCCCTAGATTAGTAACATAATTATTTAACTACTTGGTGCACTATGACGCACTGATGTCATCTGGAATTTAGACGTAATTTCATTATCAGTCTTTTGCAAAATATTCTAAAACTTCTTGATGTACAAAAAAACAAAACAAAACAAAAAAAACAACCAAACACAGATCCTAAGGAAAAGAAGAAAAAGAATTTAATATGTTTCTTAGAAGGGTACGTTCTCCATTATTTATATATTGAGGTCTTTTAAAATACTCTGCTTTGAAACTACCAGGCAGTTTTGTCTGGCCTGTTTAGTCAGTGCTCTGGGATATTATAAAAGAAAAAATTTCTTCTTTCAGAGAGAGTAAAAGCAATCCTCTTACAAAAGTCTTGTTAATTTTGCTTTTCTATTGCTCTTTTCAGGGTTCAAGTGTTAACTTTTGTTCAGAAAGTTTGTTTTGTGTTTAAGGGTAGGTCCTAATAGGAAATGTTCTTCTGTAAGTGAAAGCAAAGTGTTCTTGTTGGCTTGTAATATTAAGCCATCTCTGTTTGTTTTTTTTTAATCTATTAAAATTGTAATCATCGTTAAAATATACAAATTATGCATACTTAATATGTGAATTTTATGGCATTGAAAATAGATCTTAATAGCCTATTATTATCACATCAAACTTTAAAAAAAAAATCAAGTTTATGAAGAAAATTTTTGAAATATATGTTCAGTCAGTCTTGTGTATTTGCACAGAAAGTAAAGAATACCTCTTCTCTCTGTTACCAGACCACACAAGCACTTACTGCAAGGAAGGTTAAACACAAAGGGTGAAATCCAGACAGGGTGTATAGAGGCACAGTTCAACTGATTCATATACATTTATGTCCAAGCTTTGGATTTATTTTAGTAATCCTATTAGATAGTTTTTTATGGTTGCCAGATTATGACCTGCAAACTCTGAGCTGGAACAGCTACCATCCTTTAAAAATGCAGGAGCATCACAAAGATCACTAATGCCACTTTAATAGCAATCCATGCATCAATCCACACTTGATAGGGATGTTAATATCTTCTAACTGAACAGATACTCCTGCATAGTTGTTATCTGTTTTATTGTTTAGCACAGCATATTACAGGAGAAGGAGTGAATATCTCAGAATACAACTAATAATACTGTTTATAACTTGGGTTTGTTGCCTATGGAATGAGCTACACAAATATATCAAAGTAATCAAACATATGAACACAATAGAGCAATTTAGAGATTTTTTACAATATTTAACCTAATTAAAATCGCTTTTAGACAATAGTTTAGTTTAGTTCTTTATATATATATGCGTGTATATATAAAATCAAAAATATTCTGAATGTCTTTTACTATTTTTTAAATGTGCATAAACTTATGTATCTTCAGCTAGATACTGCTTGACTGCCTGAAGTCAAAGTAACTTTGGTGCCTTCCTTATTCTTAAAGTGAGATGAAGGTTTGTGTGTATAAAATGTTTCATATGAGTAGTTTCATGTGCAATTTTACATTTAAAAAAAAAAAAAAAAGAACAACCAGAACGTAAAAAAGGATACAGAAAAAATGACAAAAGGTTAGGACTTTTGCTGTTTAGAGTACCCCCACATTGAAGTAATTATTGCTTGCTTTGTGAAATACTCATAGGCCTAATGGAATTACGTAGTGGTTTTTCCTTTTTTGAATTCTAGTTCTTTCTGCCTGCCTTTGTAGAGGTGAGTCAGTCTTATGCATAGAGTGCTTCCCACTGGTGAAATTGAGCTTATTTTCTCTCTGAGGTGGCTGCACCATGCCAGTGGTGGCAGCATCCTCAGAGCCCCAGCCCTGCTCCGCATCATGTCTGGGAAGCGACAGCTCTTCCCACACTGCTTTGTACTGCAGTAATCTGCAGGCAACTTCTGTTGACTGCAAACATGAACATTGCTTTAACTAGTCTCACATTCTGGTGTGATTGTCTATCACCATAAAAAGATCCTCTGCGTCTGTTTCTTATCTGTTTTTAAACATGCAGTTATGCAGTCATGCTGCCCGTTCCTGCTGAGCCTTACACTTACTGCTTGTAAGTACAGTACTGATATTGCTGTGAAAAAGTACTGAAAATGGCACAGGCTGTGCTCAGGAAACATGCCAGTTTAAATACATTTAGTTTTCTTTGCTTCTGGAAATCTAATGCTTTAAATTTTAATTCTTACATTTCTCTCTTTTTTTTTTTTTTTTTTGTCTTCCTTTCATACAGGGTGAAAAAAAGATCAGATTTAATTGGTGCTTTTAAATTAGAACCTCTTTACCTGCAGCATCACCACCAGGAGTCTGGTAATTTTATTGTTAAATACAATGACCATTATTTTATTTGCACACTGATATTTAACATTAAAAAAAAATGGTTTAAGATGACGACAACCAAAATTCTTAAAACTAGCTAAGTTGTTTAGCAGCCTATTTCCATATTCAAAATGCCTTAGGAAGTGAAGTTTATTGAAGTGCAAACACATATAGTGAGATTTTAGTTTGTAGAAAAAACAACTGAGGGAAAGCCATTTCATGAGACATTGTATAAATCATTTTGTATTAGGATTTCTTCCTCTCCATATTTACCACTGAATCTTTTTCCAAGCTATGGATTCAAGTTCTAACTCAGATTTTCAAATACTCGTGCCAGGAACAAACATTCTCTGAAACTGCAAAGAAAGGATGGGCTGTGTCTGGTATCTGTGCTCTGTTTTCTGTGATAGCTATCTGAGACACTGTTCTATTGCACTCATGTTCTTAAATTGATTGTAGCAAAGGAGGTAAGTGCAGATTATTGGTCTTGTGCAAAATTCTCACAAAAGCTCCTCCTGGAGTGCTTTGCTTGAGGTATAGATCTTAGACCTGTACAAAGCTCCTTTACAGATTAGCATTGCTCCTTGCACATGCCTAGCAGCTGCAGAGTGGCATTTGCTATCCTGAAGGTTGGCTGTGCACATTCAGTTGGTACGTGACTAATTGTGAAGGTCACAGCAGTCATTCATAATGACAGAATTACAGAATGATTTGAAAGGGGTTGGAGAGGACCTCTGGGAATCATCATAACCCCCTTGCTAAAGCAGGTTCCCTACAGTGGATTGCACAGGAAAACGTCAGGTTTTGAGTATCTCCAGAGAAGGAGATACAGCCTCTCTAGGCAGCTTCTTCCAGTGCTCTGTCAGCTTTCAAAGTAAACTTTCACCTCAAGGAGCCTGTGCATGTTCTTTCCATTTATTGTATCTCATATATTTCGTGGAGTTGGTGGTGCTCATCTATGCTCAGAACTATATTCGGAGTGCACTGCTTTCTGTTATAGCCATGAGCTCACTGGCATTTAAATAGGAGTTACAGAATCATAGACTATCCTGAGATCCATAAGGTCCATTGAGTTCAGCTCCTATCTCCACACAGGGCCACCCAAAAATCAAACCATATGACTAAGACCATTGTCCAGGCACTTCTTGTACTCTGTCAGGTTGGGGCGATATAACCACTGCTCTGGGGAGCCTGTTCAGGTGCCTTCCACCCTTCTGATGAAGAATATTTTCCTGATACCAGATCTGACCCTCCCCTGAGTTGGTTCCATGACATCCCTTCAGGTCCTGTTGCTGCCAACAAAGAGATGACGTCAGCTCTGCCCTTGTGAAGAGCTGTAGGCCACTATGAGACCGGCCCAGTTAATACATAATAGAATTCCACTGTTCACAAAAATCTATTCCTGTGCCTTAATTCTGACCTGTCAGAGCTTTTGTGTTATATACCTTTTTCTACATTTTATTTTTCTACATTTCCAGGCAATGCAATTATGAAACATGGCAATAAACAGGAAAATGTAGTAACTCTGAAGCTGAGGTTCACCCATCAAAGGCTAGAATTATTAAGAAAAAAAATGTACTTTTTTTTTTTTACCTTTCAAAGTGAAAAGTGCTAATTATTGCAAATATACTTGTCACTAGCTTTTAATTAACGTATAAGAAAAATGTTTCTTTTGAGAAAAAAAATCTGAAGTTAAAATTAAGGTGAAAATACATTCTTGTGAAAATTGACAGCACTGACACCAGCATATTAGGGCTTCCCCACGTTAAATGACACCAAAGGAAAACGAAACCTTTCTTAGTTGGCCTGAAAACTTAATCTCCCAGGTGGATAAAAAGTCATCCAGTCTTTGCATTGCCTCCCCTAGCTGTGTTAGTATTTCACTAGATCTGGACATAAAGATTCCAAGTAGATCAGCTGATAATTAGCTGTCAAGCAGCACTAATATTTTCTTCACTCTATTCCTATTTGCTGACAGTTTTCCAAAGATCTGGAGAACTTTCCAAAAGCCAACACCTCTAGTTGAACTGTCAAATCCAATCCACACATATGCCTTCAATCAAAACGTCCAGAGTTTCAGGGTGCGAGGCTGTTACAGTCACTGTTGATCCCTGCGTGATCTATGAGACGGCAGCACTCCTGGAAATAACATTTGTCTAATGGAGGATATTATTTTCTGAGTATGTCTCAGGACTGAGAATTCCCATCGTGGTTTACAAGGCAAATGAAGTAGCATTTTTGAATTCACTCTTCTCTCACTCAAGAATTTAAATGAGCGGAAAAATATATCTATCTGTGAGCAATTAGTCTTAATAACCATATGGCAATTATGTGTGCCCTCAAGAGGAAAATCTTTATTTTGTCATTAATTATAATTTTATGTGATTTGCATCATCCCACCAGGAAGATTATACTAGCTTGCCTGGGAGCCCAGGATATAGGTCAAATCCTAATGGCGGTGTAAGAATAGTGAGCTCCGTACTCTATTGTAAATGCTGCATGTGCTCCCACAATGCAATTCCTCCTGGTTAAATACAGATGTAAGGCTAAGGCTTGTAATCAAAGACTAATCATTGACTGCATTCTGCTTCACAGCTTGTGAAAGGCGTTGTTGTGATCATTAGACATAGCCCCTTGCAGCAGCGTAGGATTATTTATCTATCACCAGTTGCTTTACTTTCTTCGCTACCAACCTTGCAGCTATCAAATAAAAATGGCTGCGACAATGCAGTGCACAAATGTTATCAAATTACCCTGTTGCTGAGCAGAGTCAGCCATCTTAATTCTCTGAGGTCCAGAAACAGAATAATGATTGTTACTTTTTTTCCCCCTTTTGGAAGATAACCTAGAAACATGCTAAAGAACCAAATGGCTGGGTGTTTCAGGGAGGAAGGATCATGTGTTTTGGCTGCATGCATGTGAGAATGTTGGCAGGGGAGTTTGTAACACAGGAAATTGAGTCTTTTTTTATTTTTTTTTTCTTTCTTTTATTTTTTTATAAGAGTCCCAGGAAATTGGAAGGGTATTACACAAATGACATAGACTGGCCAATTCATAAGCCACAGTTCTATTTAGTACCTGAGAGCAGTTGGACTGCACTTTTCCATGGAATTTAAGTATATACTTTCCTGTGAAGATTATGCTCCACCGTAGAAAAATAAAGCAGAATAAAAAAGCTAAGCAGCTACTTCCACGTGTTGCTAAAGAAGTGCTTAAGATTTTAGGTCAATTTAATTTTTGTCACTGGCTTACTGCAAGTAATCCAGCTTTACCATGAAATTAGCCTAATGACCTGATTCGAAGTAAAGGTAGAGCCATCTTGGCTCTTTGTGGTCATACAAAAGACAACAAATAATACTTTCTGCTTGCCTCCTTGGACTGCTTTGAGGCTTGGTCAAGCTGTGTTTTTATTAGGTTGTTTTCAGTACATGAAATAAAAAGTCATAAACATGCAGAATATTATTCTCCAAACAGGAAGAGAGGCAAATTCCTCAGTCACATTTTCCAGTCACTTATTAGACGTGCTGAAGAATAAGCAACAAATGCATGAAGGGGCATAAAAGGTAGTCAGGAATGCATTATTTTGAAAAGCATCAGTTTGGGGATTCTACAGAACAAAATTAATAAAAGCTGCTTTCTCTTTCTTTTCCTTACAAGGGGAAAATAAACACAATACTGAGTCTGTGATCACTATGGGATCATAAGTCTAACAAAAAGGAAAACTGTTTAATTTGTAAGCGGTATATTCTGGCTAGCCCAGGAATTATGTGTGTTACCCATTGATGCTATGGATGCTTGTTTGTAGAAAACATCTAGCTTAAAAACAGCATGTTCAATAGTACTAGAATGACTGTAGGTTTTGGCTGTTATGATGAAGCAGTGCAATTGTTTTTTCTTTAACTTCCAGGCCTCGTAACAGACTACCGGGTAAGTACATCAATATAATCCCTAATATTGCAGCTTGTATACTCTGATTTGCCCAGGGATTTTATTTTCCATTGATTTCATAAACTTCAAAACATTGCCTTTCTTTTCAGGATGCATTCAGCTTGCTAAATTTTTAACATTACTCAAGCTGAAACTGTAAACTCTGCTTTTGGAAAACAAAACAAAAGCCACACCATATTTAAAGGCAGAATGTGTCTTGCATATGTAATATTTCAAGGTTTAATTAGTAGAAAGAAATTGCCTAAAGATTTCATTTTTTAGAGTAGTAGATAACACCTTTTTTTAAATGCACTTTTTAACCTTGACAATAGAAAATCTTTTGTTTTGAAGCAGAAAACAAGTCAATCATACTAGAAGCTAGCCCCACAGCTGCAAGCTAAAACTTACTTTTTCCAAAGCCCTTGAGGAGAATTCAGGATGCAAATAGACAGTTGGTTTTGGCTTGTGACCCTTTCATTCTGCCAACAACCTTCTTTTCTACCTCTCATTTGAGAAACTTGAGTATTAAACAGTCATAGTAGGGCACGAGCCAAGAATCGCCATTTCTGTTATTAGTGGGCCCAATCCTAGCTATGGTCTCTAATATCTGAAATTAGCTTAGAAGTCATTGCGGCATATACACTTTCTGCAGTATCACTGCAAGGCTGACTTCTAATGTGGATGCCTCCCTCTTGCCACAGCACTGGCAGATCCCCCTGGGGAGGAGGTTCCGCTCCCTGAAGCTCTGGTTTGTGCTGAGGATGTATGGCGTCACAGGACTGCAGGAACACATCCGCAAGGTAACTGCAGCGTGTTTTCTTGGGTGGGCTGCTTGGAATAGCAAGGGAAAATGAACTTTGTCCCTGTTTTCCAAAACTTTTGTATGCGACAGAAAGCAATTGCTTTAATAGAGCTCAGGTCAGTAGAAGTACTGCTTGTTTGCCCCAGTTCTATATGATAGCAGGATCAAAATTGTCACCTGTTTTGTATTACTGTTTAGAGAATACAAGCATCGGAATTTGAAATGTATACAATGCAGCACCATGCATCCCTCTCAAATAAATTGGAGCCAGAATATATTGATGTTTTTTTGGGGGGGGAAGAAAAAACATGAAAACAGACAGTGCATGCCTATGTTATGAATAGGCATGCATTGATTGCATGTTTAGATTATAATTAAGGTCACTGGGCTGCATTTATGCTGCATTAACTTACAGGGTATGTCTGCCTATCCTTGAAGTGATAATTTCTGCTGGTTCTGCTTCCTGTTTAAAATGCATAAAAAAAAAAATCAAAAGCCATTATGAGTACAATTTGCAGTTTGTTAGCATTGCTGTGAATAAGTACTAAGTTTAGTCTTGATTTAGACCTGGCACCAGTCTAAATCAAATATATACTTCCTCTGTGGCAGTAAAATCAAATTCAAGCATGCTTTTCCTTTTTATGAAGTTTAGGGAAACTTCTAGTGAGAGAAGCTCTGTGATTTGGCTGTAAATATTTACAAAAATATCCATTAGCTGAGAATCTGGTCTCATATACCAAACTCTCACAGACACACATTCCTTTCTGTTGTGGTGCTAAACAGATTAAGCCCTAAGAAAGGCTTCTCCTGTCGTTGTAAAACAACTGCATGAAAACATCTCTTGCAATTTGGGAAGGTTCTGGGAGGGACAGTGTCCTCATTTTTATTACAGTGTATTTTTCAACCGACTCTTAACTCTCAACTGAATCACTGACTTAAATTATATTTTTATTCCTAATAAGGTTGTCAGAAGCAGATGTTGACAACAGTGGCAAGCCTGATGTTCTGTTGTCCTTCTGGCAACCTGATACATACCTTCCAATGAAAAATTGATCTATAGTTTGTTACTGCTTTACTAGACTGCCACTACAGTTCCTCATGCTTTGCTCTTTCAGGTTAGATTTTTGGAGACTGCAATAATTTCAGCATGATGCCAAGTTTTCAAGTAGGGCTAAATCTCCCCCTGGGAAAACTGGATTGGAAGCCCCATGTTAATTATATGGCCTTGATCAGGAAGATTTCTGCAATTTAATACTCACATTCAACAAGAAGCTTTGCAGTTTTCTTGTTCCCTACCTTCCTGGCCGCCCAGACAAAAAGTGCTCGTGTTCCCATAATCTTAGCTGTTTTTATATTTTCTATGACAACACAGTTCAGGAAGGGAAAGCAAATCAATCCTTCCTTAAAGATACTGACTGCTAAGTTGGAACCATCATACGATGCCTTATTTGTGAAGATAATCAGAAAGCTATATTTCCAAGGCCTTGTTGAACTGAGTGTGTGTTTAATATTTCTTTACGATGAAAGTGTTCCTTTGTATACAGAGGGAAAAAAGTTATCAACTTTTTTTTTTGTTTTTTTTTTTTGTTTTTTTCAACTTTGGAAAAGTAGTAAGGGTAATTAAAAGCTGAATTTGAGCCACTGTATACATCTGTCAAACTGGAGCCTTTAAGTCCATTTCTCCTCACCACCCCCCTTGATTAGTGCTGATTAAATTTGGTGCATTTCAAAGCAGCTTTAAAAAAAAAACACACAAAAAAAAAAAAAACCCAAAAAACAGTCCTTCTATCTCCAGCAGCTCATAGCTGAACATACATATCAAGAAAAAAATTGCATTTCATTTGCTTCCGGCTTTTGTAGAATTTCAGTAAAATAGGACTTGCAAGTTTGCAGATGCGTTGGTGAAGTTTTATCAGTAGTTGCAAAATAACAATTATGAATGTGTTTTATATCTTACCCATTTTTCTCTCTTCTCAGGAGTTATCCTGGGCTCCAGATATATTTTGATAAATCTTGACCATGGGCAAATGAAACCAACACGATGCTGGTTCACATTTTCTAATCTACAGACAAGTTTTTTAAAGAAAAAGTAAACTGGAGTTTAACTCAGCTTGTTCTCTTCACATTAACATTGCTTGTCCTAGCACTCAGCCTTGAAAAGATGCTTTCATTTAAACACACCCTAATATCTTGCAAGGGACAGTATTTATGTATTTATGTTTCCACTGCTGGCAAAGGCAATCTTTGAAGAGAATAGCCACTACTGGATCTTGTGGTACTTCTGTCTTAAGGGAAATGCTGTAGTGCCAGAATTATTTCTAAGGCTATATTTATAACAGTAGGTCATAGAGAGGCCATTCCTAGCATGAGATCTAGGCTGCAATGGCAGGAGCAAGTACTGCAACCTTCAGGTGGAGAACAGAGTCGAGCCAGGGAGTGGGAAGTTCTCTCTTTCTGATGTGCCCCAAGAAACAGGCTGTGCAAATAGAATCAGGCAGAAAATCAGCTTTCAAAGAGTTTCTTGAGGTGATATGTGGGGAAGAAGATGCATGTGCATCTCACTTGTGCAGGAGGTAGTAGGTAGGCCCTATTGTGTCTGTTCACCCCATACAATTGCAGCTAGGACATGACTGTTCAGGTGCATGACTGGGCCTTGTTAAGAGATTGGGGACCAGGAGTTTCAATTCCTTTCTGGGTTTATATAAATCTCAATGTGAATGGTGTGATTGCCTGGCAAAAATGACAACTCAGCTCCTCAGTCACAGAGCTAGAAAGATTTATCCAGCATTTATAGACTTCTAGTCAGGCTTCCTTTTGCACTTTCTTCCCAGAAAACATGTAATATATTAACCTGTTGTAAAGAATAGATTTTAAAGCAGTGGCAAAGGGAGTCATTTCTGATGGATATGGGGAGAGAAAAATATGAATTTTGGTGGAAAGCTCACAGCTATTGAGGAGATGTAAAGAAGGCAAAAACAACAATAAAAGTCTGATTCCAAATACTCAGAGTCGGTATAGATGTGAAACCCAAACAGTGCATTTGTAAGCAGCACATTATAGACTTCTTAACCATATATTACTCCTTTGTCCTTTTAAGTCATCGCAAATTTCTCTGAAGTCATCTGAAAAGTTAGAAATTAACATTCTTGTAGGCAATTCTCATGAACATTTCGAGTCAGATAAATCATAAATCCTTTGGAGGCCAGAAGAAATCACTTTACCACCTTCTCATCAATGATCATGAACTCTATTAAAATTGTACAACGGAGACCAAGAAACTGGCGCAGCACAGAACAGCAGTGCCAGAGAGAGAACTACAGTTGGGGAGTGGCATAGTCCAAGTGGCTAAGTCCAAGTTCAGAGGACACTTTCTGCAGCATTTGGAGAGTTGTAGTGAGATATGAGCTAAAGCAGGCACAGAGGTGAAATCTAGGAAGAAAACTTTCAAGGTTATGCAGATATGTGTACTTATTGTGGTGCTTCTAAGAAACTCCCTTGAAACAGAAGCTACTTTAGTTCTGGAAGGATTTGTCCTACAGTGAATTCTCAACTGAAGTATCTAAATGCTGGAGCTCACACGTGTTTATATATGCCCCGGACCTGGAGGCATTCAAAGCCAGGCTGAATATGGCTCTGGGCAGCCTGGTCTAGCAGAGGGGCTGGAACTAGATGATCATTATAGTCCTTTTCAACCGAGGCCATTCAATGATAAGTACAGATCTTCTGTATGGACTGCACCATAATGTCTCACGAGTTTACTCTTCTCATCAATGATTATGTAAGGCATTTTCTCTAATCCTGATGAATCACAAGTTAGTTGCCATTTTTTTCTTATCTCACTGCAAAAAGGCAATAGTTATTTACCAGAGGTAGTGAGACACAGAAATCCCTTGCAAGCTTCAATGTTTCCATCTGCTAAATGTCACTGTGAAGAGAAGTGCCGGTGTTCAGCTCCTACATACTGACATTTTTCAATAACACAATACAATACATATAATTCCACTTTAGGAACCGATGTGATAAAGGGTTTTTCCAAATGACATTACTAAAAACAGTATGTGAGTTGGTTTGTGTACATACTTTTTTTTTGGTCAAAATGTACAAGGTAAAATACTTTTTAAAGGTTAAATGCAGCTTGAATCAACTTTAAATTAATGGTGCTAAGGGTGCAGCATGGTGATTGTGTCAAAACCATTTGGAGAGTTACAATAACCACGGATTTGTACATATTCAGCAGAAAACCGAAAAGCTCAGTTTTCAGTTCTGCAAATAAGACTTGATTTTCATAGTTTACTTGCACATCTTGAAAATCAGGAGTACTGAAACCACGTGTGTACCCCTGTGAGCTATTACCATACCCATGTCCAGAATGGGATACAGCTCTTTGAGTTGCAGAGAGGCAGACGTGAAACCTACAAGCCCTTTGAATTCTGCAGGCTTAGTAATGTTTAACTTTATTGAATTTATTTATGCTTATGTCAACAATCTTTGTAAGAGCAATTCAGGTTAAGAGCTTACAAAGGTGCAGGAGTTCAAAGGTGCAAGGTCTTGGATCACTCTGTGAAGCAGAGCTGCACAGGTGAATCTTGTTGGTCCCAGCTTTCTCTACTTCCCCGTCCTCTAAAAATCTAATACACGTGGTGCCCCCCAGTGGCTTTCACTGTTATTGCTGTTCCTTACAGCTTGCTGTGGATAAAATTGCTTCCATATATGAATACTAAATTCATAGAATTTTGATTTGTGTTTTACTGAATAGTCCGTTTTCCCCTGATTTTTATCTCTCAAAATTCTTGAAAAATCTCTTAATGTAAAATAAAATAAAAAGGACAGAAATACCTGCTAAATACTACAGCATCTGTAGTATCCTTGTAAAAAACACTTGCAGTAAGCCAAACCTTAAATTATTCTCTTATTCAGTTATTGCCAGGCAGATTTTGATTAAATTCGCTTTGTGGTTGCACTCAGATAAACAAGCTGTGAAACTGTCATCATATTGAACAGAAATTTCTTATGATCTTGATGTCCAAGATTTGGTATATGCAGTGTAGAATTTTGCTGTGTCAAAAGCATAACTTGTCCAATGCTATAGAAAAGAGGGAAGGAGGCGACAGTAAAAGATTGTTGCAGCCTTTGTGCATGTTGCATATATGCTTCCCATGCACTTTATGCGTACAAACATGTGGATGTATATTCTGGTCAAATTTCATAGTTGTAAAACCATGCTGTTTATGTTAGCAGAAATGCCTTGGAAGGGATTGGGCATGCTGTTGTTCTTGCTCCTGATTCAAAGAGTGCTCAATCTGATTTCAGGGAGAGATGAAAGATGGATGCAATAAAAAAGCAGAGAGGAAGTGGTAACAGCAGTAGGACTGGCTGGTTGCAAGGGGTATTGGCAGCCAGGCAGTGCACCTTGAATCACTATTCTTATTCCATATAAACAGTGTTTTTCTATTTTAAGTAATAAACATTAGGAAAAGATGTTAGAACTGTTGTTTAATTTTTGTTTTGTTTTTGTTTTTGTTTTTTGTTTATAGGAAAGCCATGATAATTTTCTATGTAGATCAGCTACTACAGACATACATACAAACAAATTCTAGTAGCCAGATACTTTTGTTATCTTCTTTTTTCTGTACAACGAGCATGAAGTTGATGACAGCCTGTTAGGGGGCTGAATACAGTACTGCAGGTACCTGATGTGAATGTGGGATCTTTTGTTCAAAGTGCTTTTATATTCATTTTCTGTTTGGGGGGAAGCAAAATCTGCTGTATACGCTTACAAACTTCACTGACTGACATTAGAACTTCCTTGCTGGTTGTCAGTATGCCTGTTGGTATTTTCTGTATTTGTTTGATTTTGGGAGAGCATCAGTCTTCGTAAATTTTGGAATAATAAATCTAGTTTGGTAACCGATTTAACTGTTTATCAGGCTGAGGTATGCTGTCTGTTTCCTTTATTTTACTGTTACCACTGTTCTTTTCAATGGGACCTGAGCACCCAGGCCAGAAAGGGTGAGCAAGTTATACCCCTCACAGTTATTCTCATGTTAAGGGAACTCTTCTAAAAAGCCCGTCTGTCTCTGTCCATCTTATTGTCCACTGGAATTGTGGTCATTTTCACTGTATAAATCCGTGCATCCTTCCCTTTCCTCTTTTCAGACTCTGCAGCTGTTTTCGACCAAAACTGAGAATGGCAGAAAATGTAAAACAGAACTCTTGCAAATATTTACTATTAATATGGCATCCCGAAAGGTATAAAACATTTCGTGAAGAAGCAGACCTGTACTCCCTAAGATAAACTGAGCAACCAATATTGTTACAGCTCAGTATGGTCTCCGACAGTCATACGCGTGATATAAGTTAACATAAACAGATGGCAGTGTGTGAATATCATCACCTATTAGAAGAGGGAAATGAGAAAAGCGATTAAGGATGGAAGCAAATTTAGCAAATCATTTCTTTGAATGAATCAAATTTATACAATAGAGACGCTCTTTTTCTTCTCAGCATGTCAGGCTGTCGCACCAGTTTGAACATTTAGTCCTTCAGGATGAGAGATTTGAGATCTGTGCTGAAGTTGTCTTGGGACTAGTCTGCTTTCGACTGAAGGTAAGGCAGCTGAGACTTATTACTTCTATCATGTTTTATAGCACTGCAATCACCTGCAGTAGAATACAGTCTTTGTAGTTAATACAGTTAATTATTTTTTAAGAAAAGCAGGGAGAACTCATGTAGATCATAGTGGATTAAAGAAAGAAGCCTAAGACATTTTTCTTAAAATTAAAATCAAACGCTTGCAGGAAATTTAAGCATAATAGAGTATGGAAATCTGTAGTCAAGGCAAACAATTAGTCTTAGTCTGCCCAGTCATACCAAATAGCTGTTGTATTCTGTGCTTGATGGACTTTGAATTAGGTGGTAGTTTTAATATATTTCCCAAGGCATTTATTTATGATGTGTCTGTGTGTGCATTAAATGCTTCTTACTGATTTTATATGTGTGTATATTTAATAATTTTATATATATGTATAACATCTGTCATGTATGAAGACAGAGTAATAAAGTTTTGTTGTTATTGTTCTTTAAAGAAAGCATCAAACATTAAAAGGAGATCAGTGTCTTGTTTTTGATAATGAACTTGTTTAATAAAGGAGCTTGCAGCTAAAGCTGCTGTGAAGGGCTTATTGTGACCCTGAATCTGAACACCAAACAATAAGAAAAATGCCACTGGTGTTTTCTGTTTCATGTGTTTTTTTAGTTTAGGTCTCCAAATGAGCTTTTGGCTTTTCTGAAAGCCCAGAAGCACATCTTGGCATCTTCTAGGTAGTGTGTTATTACCCCTTTTCTCAAATTCTTTTCTCAGTCATTCAGTTGCCCTAGTTACTACCGTCTAATGGTTTCTATAACAGTATCTGTAACAGTAAGGTGATGGTAAAACAGGAAATGTAATAGGAAAATGGTTTCATTTGAATTTATGGTGTTTAAAAGAAAAAAAAAGATCTGCTAATAGGGGATCAGACATACTAAAAATGCAGGGCTGTACTAATAAATGGAAATGTGAATCTATTTTCTTTCATAATGAGAACTTTTCAAAATTGTTGAGGAGTAGGTCCTGTGGCACTTACTGCTCAGTTACAAGAGGTGGTTGGAGTCTGCTCTCTGACTTGGTCAAGGAATCTCCAGTTTTGCAGATTCAGAATCAGCTGTAAGTGCTCTTTGTTTAATTTAAAGAAACAGTTGGTCCTGGTGAAACAGAGCTTAGCCACACAGGAATTGTCATTTATGATCAGATCAGTTCATCCATATCTGGTCTCTTATCCTTGGTGCTCCACAGGAAGAAAACAGGTCCACAGGGAAAGACAATTAAACAAGTGAAGATAAATACTGGATATCTAGCTAATAAACTTTCAGGCAAGTTGTAGAACAAAGGCATGGTTCTTCTGAAATCTAATGCTGAAAGAGCATTAAGTCTTCCCTGTACAAAAAGAAACAAACACCCCAAACCTAATCTATGTGTGATTTTTATATAGTTAGAGTAATGCTGAGGGACAGGAAACTTGAACTGTAATGCTGCACAGTTGTAAAATAACAGCAATATTTTTCCTTCCTTTGTTCTTGATAAATCCTTTTTTTTTCTTAGCTTTTTTTTTTCTTTCTCCATGCTGGAGAGAGATGTAGTAATGATCTATGACTTTCATATTATAACTGTTTCATCAAATGTCAGAGAAGAAATCCAAGTATCATGCCAAAGGGTTAATTTTTGGCCTTCTTATCATGTCTGTAGATGAATACAAGCCAAGCTAATCATTTCTCCAAGGGAGTGAGAACACTGGCTTATTAAAACTGACAGACTCTATCAGAGCTGGTTTCTTTCTTCTCAAGGCTCTGGGAGATGATTTGTCACTGCTTACTTCAATTTGATGTGACATCTAAGTGTCACAGCAGTCCCTGGGTGCAGCTGTGAGAGTAGAACAGAAGAAAGATACAGAAATCTTTCTCCTTCTTCCTCTTACCCCTGCCAAGGGCATTAGCATCATATTACCACTTGTATTGCTTGAAAGTTAGCACCGGGCATTTCTTACTATAAGCAAAGATCATCATTTTAATGATGGATTACCTTAAATAAGGAAGCAGGAAATCATTGTCACCAGTGATTGTCCCATGGTAGGCGGGGGGAGAACGCAGGGACATGCAAAATGTTGATGTTGGTCCATCTCATAGGGAGGAATGTTCATGATACTCTAAGAAAAGTTGTGTGAATAGCTCCTAAAAACCTAAGTCACAAATTTCAGGCTCTCACCCACATTCCCTAACTTAGCTCATGCTAAGTCAAAACAAGGCTTTGACTTGGGTTCAGTTCCAACTGTAATATGATCCAAAAGCACCCAAAGAATTCATTCGTCTTTACTGCCATGGGAAGCCATATCTCTCTTACGCTTTGTTTTCTTTTGGAGAAGGCTAAGAAGGGCAAGTCACAGTGGTGTAGATTTGAGATAACATTTTCTAATGGAAATATTTTCAAGAAGAATATGGCTGCTACAGTGAAAAAAAAAAAAAAAAACTGTACTCTTTTGCTTGTTGTAGATGAATTTGTTGTTTTGTAGCTCTAATACTGCAATGGACAATAAGAGATCACTGGAACTCCCAGCATCTCTTGCAATTCTGTGTCACCAGCAGTGTAATGGAAAGAGCAATGGCAGCACAATAGTTAAGATATTTCTCCAAAGAGTAAAATTATAGCGCTAGAGATAACACAGTATATCTTACATTGTTGTGGCAAGCTGCCAGCAAATCTGAAGGCATCAGGCTGTTGATATAAAAAATTAGACATATGGGTTCCTTTTACTTAGGTAATAAAGACTGTCAAGAATATGCAGTTATCATTTCAACCTGCATTGCTAAATCAGAGCCAAAATCCTAAGACACTGCTGTCATTGTTTTCATTTAAAACAATTTACTGCTGTTTCGGAAAATCTGATCACATCTCTTGCTTTATTCTTAACTGCTGATGAAGATAACTAAGAAAACCATTAATTAACATCAGCTGAACCTGTAAAAGAATCAGTGCTTTTCTGTGCAGTCCTGTTTCTTTTGGGAGTTGGTAGTAGAAGCGTACAGCTGCTCTAAAGGAAATCCTCACATTCAGTAGTTGAGTACAAGAAGAAATAAATACAACAGAAGGAGAGAAAATTCAAAACTGCATGCATGTAGAGTCCCTCTGACCTTCTACAAGTTATTTAGCACCTATACCTTTGTGTCCCTGAATTCATAAGAAGAATGGTTGCTGCCAGTGGAAAGAGGGCTAGTTTACTGCATTTCTAAATTCAAGTAGAAAACGCTGGAATTCTGAGAAGGACACTTCCTATAGAACCTTAAGTGAATACTTCTTTTATGGTGCTTTCTAATAGGGCAAGCCAAATTTTGATTCCTTAATTTTACTTACGCCAGGGATACATTACCTTAATTATAACTTAACTAAGAATAAGATTTTCATCTTTGTAGTCCAAAGACTCTAAAGGCAACCATGCTAAAGTGAAGACTGGAAGATTTGTTTTACAAATATTGGTAGAGTTCATTGCAAAACTGCCTTGCATTTTTATTTAAGCTCTTTAGTATGAGAGTGGTGAGGTGCTGGAACGGGCTGCCCAGAGAGGCTGTGGATCCCCCGTCCCTGGAGGTGTTCAAGGCCAGGTTGGATGTGGCCCTGGGCAGCCTGGTGGAGGTTGGTGGCCCTGCATGTGGCAGAGGGGTTGGAGATTCATGATCCTTGAGGTCCCTTCCAACCCAAGCCATTCTATGACTCTGTGATTCTATGAATTAGATCTAAGAAAATTGTAATGAAATGGATACAATAATCAATGATTTTAAATGAAGCTACCTAGCTTATGACCTTAGGTCACGAGAAAGTAGCCAGCTATTGCAAATGCCATAGAGTGAAAACAGCTTCTAAACCACAGTTAATTTATAAATCTCTTTGCGGCTGAAAAACGATCTCTAGAGCCATCAACTTTTTGTATAATCCTTTGATGGCAAAGCATTTACAGATGAGAAAGTGGCTAGATGTTACTGGAGACAGGCTTGGCTGCTTGGTGGAATTTACATATTCCAGATTTCTGAAATTCATTACCTTATCTGTTGAATTACAATGATTTCAGGGCTCAAATGAACTAAATAAGGCACTTCTTAAAAGCATAAATGAGGCCAAGAAGATTCATCTGGTCCCATGCCACCTGCGAGAGAAGTTTGTGCTACGCTTTGCTATTTGCTCCCGCACAGTGGAATCCACCCACGTCAAGTTTGCCTGGCAGCACATCTCACAGCTGGCGACTGAGCTCCTGAAAACATGGGAACAAAACCACCAGCAGCAGTAACAGTGGTGAGGTAGCAGCAGGGAGGAGGTAATTAGCTGGCTTTCTTTGTGTTGCCAAGTTTAATTTTAGGGGCAGGTGGGAAAGTCGAGTTATGAGGGGAAAAAAATCAAAAGCTGTTGCTACATAGCCCAGCTGCAGTAGCAAAATCCTTGCCAACAAGTTGTGTTCTAACCTTAGTGATTCATTCTCTGCACTGCATTTTCATCTTGCCTTTTTCCAGAAGGGACATATCCATGGCATCTCAAGCTGTCATTTCTTTCCTGTTAGTTATCAAGAGCATTCATTGATCCCAGCAATGGAAACAGAGGGTTAGTATTCCCTCTATTCTTGACATTAAGCCCCCAGCACAAAAACTCTACTCCAGAGATAAAAATGTAAGGTGTCATCACCAAATAATTTGACATCATAGTGACTTCAGAAAAAAACAGGTTGTAGGAAGCTCAGTCACCTGGTTATAACACTGTTGGGGTCCTATTCTAAGCAGGCAAGCACAGATGTAATGAGCTGGGTCACTAACATGCTATGACACACGTGCTGCTGTATTTTTTGCAAATGAAGTTAGAACTTCAAGACTCCTTTCATTATACAGTCAAACTGAGGGAGTGAATGCTTGCTGC